TAACCTACTCTGTCATGCTAAAAGGGCTGCTATAAAAAAGGTCTATTAGCATAACTTTATCAATGACATTGTCACCAGTCTTCTTTCACTTGTCTTTTCATTTTAGAAATAAGTTATCAGCAACACAATACAATACACCATGTATTTTGTATTACAATTTTTCATTTTTAATGTAGTAATACAACTTACATGAATGACAAAAGAGTGTGCAAAATTAAGTACAGTCCTTGTTGGTTAGGCCTTACTTAGAGACAAATACAATATCTGCTGAATACATGATACATTATACTGCTTAAGGTATCTCATTCATCTTAACATTATGTTGGATTTACCGAAAAGTGTACTAGCCCTGCCTTTTTAGCTAACACAAGTTGTAGCCTATAATACATTCGTATCAGAGAAGTAGATGTACAGTTGGAACATTCTCATATGAGGACAACTGTGCAGAAAGTTCACAATAATTTTTCAGCCACAGAAAACATTTGCATAACTCAAAGGGGTGTTCAAACCACTTTCCACCATATTTACACTTAAAATCCACTGAAAAAGCTATATCCTGAGGATAACACATTGATTTGGTAAACAAGTGTAAGTTTGCCACCGCCTTCTTGGTGACATTAGTAAAATTAGTATTACAGATGCAATCCTAGATAGATAGATAGATAGATAGATAGATAGATAGATAGATAGATAGATAGATAGATAGATAGATAGAGCAATCAGTCCTTAGATGTAATAAAAATAGTTAAGCATAAAAACACAATAAAGCTCCAAGTTTATGTCTATTGCAGTTATTAGAAAAGGGAGAGGCTCAGGTTTAAAAACATGCAAAACAGATTATTATAATACTGATTATTTCTTTAACAAAAATGCACAGCCTGGGCGCCCGGATAGCTCAGTGGGTAGAGCTGGCGACCCATGTACCAAGGCTGAGTCCTTGCTGCAGTGGCCCAGGGTTCAAATCCGACCTGTGGCCCTTTGCTGCATGTCATCCCCTCTCTCTCTGCCCCCCCATCCTGTCTATCTTCAGCTATCACTACAATAAAGGCAATAAAAAATATATTAAAAAAAAATAATAATAATGCACAGCCTGTCTAAGTCTCCTGTTGCTTCAGAGGCTACAGAAAGCCCACCATCATCTGGCTGCTGATGTCTACCAGAGTGAACATATAAATAATAAATCCATACAAATTCTTTAGATTATACTGACAATTATTATCAGACATAAAGTTTGCGAAATGCTAGACTCAAAACAGTTATAGCAGAACTTGCGCAGATGATTACCACTTCATATATAAAACAAAATCCATTCTTCTTGATATGAATAATATGACAGTTTTGACATTATCAGCATAAATATTAAATATCCTTTTATCAATTATTTTAAGAAATGCATTCCTTAAAAATGTTGTCAGACAATGAAAATAACTAAATATCTCGATTGAATTGCTTCAGTAATTGTATTTCTCTAAACTGCTGTGTGTTTACCATCAACTGATTGTAACTGTAATACTCTCTGGCCTTCCATACTTAAAGGCCTTGCAGACTTAAAGTTGCAGTAGGTAACTTTTATAAAATTACCTTTTTGTCATATTTGCTGAAATTTTCCCTGTGTTCTGACAGGAACCTGATTTTTTCACAGATTATCTGTCTCATTTACTACTGAAAGGAAATAGTAATAGTTTCAGCAATAATGACAAAAAGTTATTTTTATAAAAAATTACCTACTGCAGCTTTAATGGGCACTTAGGCGCTGTTGGCAGTTGTTTAAGTTATTCATTTATTTAAGTGTGGGTATTGGCTTCTCCATCAAACCTTTTAGGGAGAAAGTTGGGTTAGATTATGGTAAAATAAAGTGCAGTAACTTTGATGTCATCTCATGTTTTGTTTGTTCATCATCTACAGTCAATGATGTAAACCAGGCGTATAGGAAAAACTTCCTTGATACTTGTGAAAAAGACCCTTTCTAGAGAGTTTGGTTTGTCTGGGCTACTGTAAAAACATTGTGGTTCAACATGGCAGACTCTGTAGAAGAGGACCCGTGTCAGTTTTTTACATGTTAACTATGAATCCTCAATATATACTAAAGTTAGTTATGGAGTTCCACAAGGTTCTGTACTTGGACCAATTTATTCACTTTATATATGCTTCCCTTAGGCAATATTATTAGGAATCACTCCATTAACTTTCACTGTTATGCAGATGATACCCAGTTATACCTGTCGATCAAGCCCGATGAAATGCATGAGTTATCTAAGTAACAAACATGTCTTAATAAAAACTTGGATAAGCTGCAATTTTCTGATGCTAAACTCAGAAAAAAAACAAAATTCTTGTACTTGCCCCAAACACTGCCAAGACTCACTGTCTAAAGATATAGTTACTCTAGATCAGTGGTTCTAGAGATCGCAGGGGGTGTGCACAACTTTGTCTGCTGAGGTTGTGAGGTTACCAAAATTATTATTTACAAAAAATAAATTAATAAAATCACAATAACACACCCGATTGGATAATCAAAACTCTGTATAATCCAAATTGAAACATATTTTTGGTCCAAATTTAAATTCATTAGGCTATTTATTACCTATTTAGTGCGTGTATGCGGGTAGGGGTTCCCATTATTACAAAAATTAGACACACAGACGGATGCAGAAAAACTAATCCATGCTTTCTAGGCTGGATTACTGCAATTCCTTATTATCAGGTTGCCCAAATAAGTCCATTAAGACGCTCCAATTAATTGAGAACGCTGTAGCACGAGTACTGACAACTAGGAAAAGAGATCATATCTCTCGTGTATTATCTTCTCTGCACTGGCTCCCTGTAAAATTTAGAATAGAATTTAAAATCCTCCTCCTCACCTACAAAGCTCTTCATGGTCAGGCCCCTTCATATCTTAAAGAGCTCATAGTACCCTATTACCCCATTAGAACACTTCATTCTCTGAATGCAGGCCTACTACTTGTGGTTCCTATAGTATCTAAAAATAGTACAGGAGCCAGAGCCTTCAGTTACCAAGCTCCTCTCCTGTGGAACCAGCTTCCAGTTGTGGTTCGGGAGACAGACACCCTCTCCACATTTAAGAGTAGGCTTAAGACATTCCTCAAATCAGGTGAGTCCTGAATCATCCCTTAGTTATGCTGCTATAGGCCTAGACTATTGGGTGATTTCTCATGATGCACTGAGCTCCTCTCTTCCTTTTTCTCCCTTTCTGCACACATTCTTGTGCTTTCTCATCTCGCAGGTTCTCATGGATCCTGGTGGAGCCTCCTGCCATGGTCCTGCTTGACTCCCATTGCTAATATCACTGATATTATTGTTATTATTATTACTATTAATATTACTACAGTTACTATTATTACTATAATCACTGCTCATTGTCCATCATTGTTGTTGTCGTCATCATCTTCTTCATGTTCATCACCATCATCATCAGTCACTACTATTAGTATAGTTGTTGCTGTGCATCTTTGTCTCTGTCTCTGTCCTTCTGTTGTTACCTGTGTTCGCTCTCTCTGTCTGTCGCTCTCTGTCTCTCTCTCTGTCTCTCTGTCTCTCTCTCTCTCTCTCTCTCTCTCTCACCCCAACTGGTCGAGGCAGATGACCACCCACCTAAAGCCGAGGGGTCTGTCTGAGGTTTCTGCCTCTTGAAAGGAAGTTTTTCCTTGCCCTTGTCGCCAAGTGCTTGCTCATGGTGGTACTGTTGGTTCTCTGTAAATAATGTTATAAGGAGTTCGGTCTAGACCTGCTCTATTTGAAAAGTGTCCTAAGATAACTTCTGTTATGAATTGGCGCTATACAAATAAAATTTAATTGAAAAATGTAATTGAAGCTGCAATGTTTTTTTTTTTATTATAATTTTTTGACATGTTTGCTAAAACTTCCTCTGGCTCCTCCTAGTGCTCTAATGGCATTTGTAATTCAATTCAATTCAATTCAATTCAATTTTATTTGTATAGCGCCAATTCATAACAGAAGTTACCTCAGGACACTTTTCAGATAGAGCAGGTCTAGACCGAACTCCTTATAACATTATTTACAGAGAACCAACAGTACCACCATGAGCAAGCACTTGGCGACAAGGGCAAGGAAAAACTGCCTGTTAAAAGGCAGAAACCTAGGACAGATCCTTCGGCTCTAGGTGTGTGGACGTCTGTCTCGACCAGTTGGGGTGAGAGAGACAGACGAGAGAGAGAGAGAGAGAGAGAGAGAGAGAGAGAGAGAGAGAGAGACAGACAGAGACAGAGACAGACAGACAGACAGGTGCACAGCAACAACAGTATTTGTAAGAATCCACTGGGCCTGAACGAAAACAACCAATCGAAGCCAGAGGAATCTGTCTCATTAACTACTTTAAGAATGCAGTGAAAATGTTGAAAACATATTAAAAAAAAGTAAATAATGTAAGGAAATGTCTTTAGTTTTAGTCAATTTGGTCTAATTTGCCAGCATAACAAGCTGCTAACTTGTTGGCAATGGCACTAAATAACGTCCCAAATTTAGGCACAATTTTGGCTATGAATCAAGTATTGAAAGAATCAAGTATTGAATCAAGTATTGAAAATGTATGTTGATTTAAGTGGTGTCACTGTTTTGTTGTGATACTGGTATATTAATGCTATTCTGCATAACTCCACCACAGTGAAAAATGTCTGGACACACCCCTTGCTGTCAGGCCTAAATGCTTGTGACTTTGTGTGTCCCTGTGACAGATCCATAAAACAAACATGTTGGAGTTTAAATGAGATTGTTCAAGAGATTGACATAAGTCACATAAATGTGGCATATTTTATAGTTTGTTACCAAAGACAGATCAGCATCTGTCTGACACACTCTTAACAAAACCTGAGTATGATTGCATTGTAACAACAGGGTTTATTGCAGGGCAGTTGTATTGGAATGCTTTAGATTGTGCTTGTTATCTATGTTTATTAGATATTTATATATGTATTTCTGTGTGGCCTGCTGTCTTGGTGATGTTTCTGGCAAGAAATAGAAACTTTTTTCCCTTGTGACTTCTTTTTTATTTTGCTGAAACTGTCACATCAAAGTTTAATGCCTCATGCTGAAGACACATTTTATATGTAATTTAAAAATCAAATTTTCACCCAGCTCTTTGTATTATTATTGTTTTATATAACTAAATACTAACAAATTCCCTGATTTTGGGAGAGATAATAATAAACCCCCCTTTTTGCAAGACATAAAAATAACAAAAGATTACCAATGCTTATGTTATGCCCTAACCATCAGCCCTAATGTCCATTTTGTCTAAAAAGATTTAAAGCTGCAGTAGGTACTTTTATAAAAATAATCTTTTGTCATAATTGCTGAAATGTTCAGTGTTTTGACAGCAGTACATGAGACAGATAATCTGTGAAAAGATTCCTCTGGCTCCTCCTAGGCATTTGCATGAATCCACCGGGCATGGATGAAAACAACCAATCAGAGCTGAGAAAGATATAAAGACACTTTGGGTTGGAAGTTTGTACATAGCTGATTGTTGAGTCTCATTCCCGGGGTCCCAAAGTGTCTGTATTTGATGATGGAATAAGACTCAACAGTCACCCATCTTTCTCGCTTGTTTTTGTGGATTCTTGCAAATGCCATTAGGAGCACTAAGAGAAGCAAGAGGAACTGCTGTCAGGATAAAATGACGTTTCAGCAAATATGAAAAAAAAATTACTTACTGCAGCTTTAACAGTTTTCCACACCCCTTTGGTTAAGTGATGCAATTAAATCAAGGAAATCCAAATAATCCAAAGCATAACCGAAAAATAAAACAACTCACTGTCACAAGACATCTACTCAAATGCAAAGCAGCTGAATAAATATTAAGACTTGCAGAAAAGTTAGGCAGGCGCATTGTTGTGCTTTGTAGCATATTGGCCAGAGTCACTTAGTTTACATCATAATCAATTATAGCTATAAGCTCATTAGCACTGTGGAACATGCAGATAGAGAGATCAGATCTCTTCTGGAATATCTTGAAGATCTGGAAAAGAGAGAACAAATCAAAATTCAGTCCTGAAAATGTATTTCATTTGGGTCTTGATTCTATAACAAATTGTTTTTAAGTTACAACCCAATAATCTGCTACAGAGTCACAAAGTGTTCTCACATATTGTAGTATTGCTCTTAAAATTGTTTCAAGTTTTCTGGAAGTAATAACTGAATATCAGGGTGGCTCAGGAGGTAGAGGGTTGTGCACTAATCAGAAGGTTGGCGGTTTGATCCCCAGCTCCTCCTGCTGCATGCTGAAGTGTCCTTAAAGAAGATACTGAACTCCAAATTGTGTGAGGGTATGTATGAGCTCAGAATCATTGTGAGCTGGAGATGGAATGTTACACGCAACTCATGATTTCTCAGATAAAAGTCTACAAAATATATTTTCTCTTTTTCAAATTATAGAATCTTTTTTTATTGCTGAGGTAGGGTGTGAACTGTGAAAAACAGTGCATTTTTCCTCTTAGGAGGTGACCAGTTTGAATCTTCACATACTTGTATGGCGATTTAACTGTTTTGCGATATATCTTTACATTCCTATTTGGAGCACACACAATAGCAAGTGCTGTATGGTAAATGGATCTGTACTTGTATAGCACCTTTCTAGTCTTCCGACCATTCAAAGTGCTTTTACACTACATGGCACATTCACCGTTTCACACACATTCACTCAGTGATGGCAAAGTCCATTGAACAGAAACTAACATTCATACACATTCACACAGCATCGGGAGCAATTCAGGGTTCAGAATCTTGCTCAAGGATAGTTCGACATGTGGCACCAGGAGCCGGGGATCCAACCAACAAAACTTCCGATTAGGGGACAACCAGCTCTGCCTCTGAGCCACAGCCGCCCGCCTGATTAGCAGCTGGCACCTTGCATAACAGCCTTTGCCATACAGTATGTAGTGTAAAGCGCTTTGAGTGATCAGAAGACCAGAAAAGTGCTGTATATGGACTGCACTTACAGTATATAGCACATTATAACCTGATGTAGCTACCATTCACAGTCATTGTGTGTTAATGTCTGTAATCTGACCTTTGGAGCTTTCGGATTCCGACCCATCATCATCATCTGATGTCATGTCTACCTCCAAATCACTCCCGTCCTGGAGGCCATCTGATTGTTGGGAATGATCCTGGCTGGCCCGTGGGGTGTCAGCTTCAGTTAAAGCTTCCCTTCCTGTCTGTAGAGATACAGGCTGCAAAAGGAAGAGAAGACAAAAGAGACAAGAGAAAAACATTTTCACAGATTATCTGCCTCATGTACTCATGCAAATTTGACAAAAAGTTATTTTTATAAAAGTTACTGCAGCTTTCACTTTATGGCATTGCAATCCTTACTTGAGAAGCCTGCTCTTCCAGCTGCTGGGAGGCCGGTGCAGCCCCGCTGCAGACCTTCATATGTCGGACCTGCCGCTCCAGCTTGACCCGGGCCTTCTCACTGTCCTTGAACCGGCTCTCAGCATCCCTCAGCCTCAGCAGCTCCTCCTGTAACAGGCTGTGTTGTCTCTGCAAAAGAGCCAGCTCCCCAATGGTTGACCCTGCACTGGCCTCCCGATTGCAACCATCTCGCCAAAGCGGGCGCCATACTCCTCCTGTAGCTGGCGACAAGGCGTCCTGCGGCTGCAGCAGCAGCAGCTCCAAGATGGAGTCTTGTTTGATGATAGCACCCTGTAGGATGTGTTAGAGGATCCAGTTTTACAGACTGAAAATTGACATAAATTACAATATAGCTGAGTTTTAAGACCCCTTGCTTTAGGTGGTGGAAGTAGATTCATCTTGTAGCTGGCTGGCTGATAATAAGTATATCTTCTTCTTCTGTGCATTTTAATCCAAAAAAGCACACTGCTTGCATTGCGTGAAATGTTACCACCCATCCCCTCTAGCCCTCTACTCCTTTTTAAAAAATAACATTTTATTTTAGTATTCTTCACAAAAAGGAATGAAATAGGCCTTTGGTTTATATTTCTTTTAAGTACTCTTACAACCGTTAAAAACAGCTTTACTTCAGCTTTACTCACCTGGAGTGCATGTAGATAAACACTGAGATTCACCAGCCTTTGATAGATTTCCTGTCAAACACAGGCAACATTCATTATTACTGATGTCTAACACACACACACACACACACACACACACACACACACACACACACACACACACACACACACACACACTCTTTACTTACCATGGGTAATGGCTTGTCTTGATTCCTTATGCAATCCTTCATAAGGTAATAAACAAAATCAGAACAATGATGATACATGTGAACATAACACAATCATTAGATATCAATTGTACATTAGTATCAGTTCAAATGTACACTCCTACAAAGAAACAATGTGATAGAGAATGGTTCCAACTCTGCACTGGATAGGTGGGTTTAGAAATTAATTTGGGGTGCAGTCACAGACAGGGTGGGATTAGGAAGACTGTTATTTGGTACATTATAGTTTGGTGTGTTAGAAGCTGCTGACTAAAGTGGTAAGTGATATTTTTTCTTTCATCTTTAAAAGCAGTGCCACGATGCACTGACCAGGGCAGGAATCCAGAGTGTGACCATGTGCGACCAAACTTTTTGAGAGTGCGACTAATAATTTTTCTAGGTCGCACTGGTGCACCTGACGCTGCCCGGGTGAAAACATAAATTTATTTCGCAAGCGCATCATCTCTCTGTGTTCTCCTGTCACCGAACTCACACACTCATGGTAGGATCATATCGTGTTCTAAACCAATAAGAGACAGAGCTCGGGCGGGTCTTTGCCTCTGATTGGCTGTGGTCCTGTTCACCGCACTCAATTGTGTGTGTTTAAAAATTGCCGAGCCCCGGTCCTTCAGCGACAGCATCAGACTCGGAACCAGAGGAGGAAACCGAGTGAGACCCAAATTAAAAAGGCCAAAATATATTCCTTCAGACAGGACTGTCTGAAACAATTTCCCTGGCTGAGGTACAACAAAGGACGTAACGTAATGCACTGCGTGTACTGTGAGGAGTGCGGTCAGAATATGGCCGGAAATAGTGCATTCGTGAGCGGGTCAACAACGTTTCGTATCGAACTTTTATCAGGGACCGAGCACTAACAAGTGCAAGGACCCTATTGTTCCTCTAGGAATTATTATTATACCTCTGGGACTTCGACCGCATATTTGGCCCCCGCAACATTCTCAAAATGCCATGAAAATTTGCACAAAATTCAAACGTAGCTAAAATACCGATATGACATTGTCCCTGTGCACGGGCGCTGCCAAACGTGACGTCACTTCTTCCCTGGAGTTCTTGTGCTTTCTCGTCTCGCAGGTTCTTGTCAATCCTGGTGGAGCCTCCTGCCATGGTCCTGCTAGATTGCCGTTGCCAATACTGTTGTTGCTATGCACCTGTCTGTCTGTCTGTCTCTCGCTTCTCTCTCTAGCCTCTCTCTCTCTCTCTCTCTCTCTCTCTCTCTCTCACCCCAACTGGTCGAGACAGACGACCACCCACCTAGAGCCGGAGGATCTGTCCTAGGTTTCTGCCTTTTAACAGGCAGTTTTTCCTTGCCCTTGTCTCCAAGGTCTTGCTCATGGTGGTACTGTTGGGTCTCTGTAATTAATGTTAAAGAGTTTGGTCTAGACCTGCTCTATTTGAAAAGTGTCCTGAGATAACTTCTGTTATGAATTGGCGCTATACAAATAAAATTGAATTGAATTGAATTGAATTGAAACGTCTAAGCCACGCCCCCCAGAATCAGCCCCCAAGACACGTAAGGCCCACATGTGCAAAAATTGCTACGCATGTGTATCATGATAAAAGAAGCAGAAAAGCCTCTTGGACCCATGCCCCAAAACCCACAGGAAGTCTGCAATTTCAATTTGTAATTTTCATCATTTTGTGGTCATTTTGACTTTTTGGGCTTGTGTTTGAAGGAACGCCTCCTAGGGAATTTATCGGATCTACTTCAGAATTGGTCGTACAGTCAAACATGGTGCTGAATGAAGCTGTTCTTTTTGATTTGTTTGGTCATTGTGAAGTCCATGGTCTTTATTTGAACAAATTAGGAATTTATATGCTTCAAAACTTGATCTTGAATAATGTTCTGATTACAAGTTGTCCTATTTTTACTGTACATTGAGGGTGCCCGTGGCGTGCCGTCAAAGTTGGCCATTTTGGAATGTCCACTGTTTTTTTGGTATTTCGGGCTTCTTTTTAAACTCCCCACAGGTTTACTGCTACTCAATTGGTCGTGCCATTTTTCCCCCCAAAATTTTCCCCCGCGCGGGGCCGGCGGCCTCTTTCAAACCTTCGCCATGAAAGAGGGATTCGTCATAACTTCTGGGTACATGATCCGACTGCAATGAAACTTCACATGTTCGATAAGAGTCCCGCCCTGAACACGTCAATGTGATAATATTCAGTAATAGTCAGAGCGCCACCTAGTGGCAACAGGAAGTATCACGTTTTATACTTTCATGTTCTACTCCTAGCAGGATGATCAGATCCAGCTGAAATTTACTTATAAAATGCAAAACACATTGTTGATTATATGTGATGACTGCGGTGAGGGGGCGTGTCTGTAGCGTGGCGGGAAATTTTGATGTACCGCCACAAAACACGAATTTGCTATAACTTGAGTGTACATTGTCCAATCGGCTCCAAACTTCACATGTCTGATAAGAGTCCCGCCCTGAACACGTCTATGTGATAATATTCAGTAAAAGTGAGAGCACCACCTAGTGGTGAAAGGAAATGTCATTTTTTTATACTTCCATGTTCTACTCCTAGTAGGATGATCAGATCAAGCTGAAATCTAGTCACAAAATGGAAAACATGTTCTTAATGATATTTCTTGATTGTGGTGAGTTTTTGTTACAGGGCGTGTCCGTGGTGTGGCGTCAAACTTTGATGTACCGCCAGAACACACAAAGTTGCTATAACTTCAGTGTACATTGTCCAATCGGCTCCAAACTTCACATGTCTGATAAGAGTCCCGCCCTGAACACATAGTGATAGCGCCACCTAGTGGCAACAGGAAGTAAGTGCTGCGTGGCGATTTTGAGCTGATTTACGTGAGATTTTCATGTCGTGGTCCGCACGTGTTACGACGGCACGTGACGCGGCTGCAGCACGCCCCGAGTTGCGCAGAGTGCGAGGTCCCGTCCATCGCTGCTTGCAACTTTAATTTGGAATTGTTTTATTTTGCTTAGTGTTTTAGTTTGAAATTTAGTTTCAATTTCAGCTCAGTGAAGCACTTAAACACTTTTTTTTTCTTTTTATATATATAATAGTACATCAAATAAAGACAAGCATTTCTCTACACCTTATTCTTGTTTAAAAATCATTCACATTATATGAAAGCTATGGAGAGCGATTAAAAAGGTGACCTTATGGCTTTAAAGGCAACGCAATGAAAAATTTGGGTGCACCTACATTTTGTGCTGGTGCACCCAAAAAAAAAAGTTAGGCGCACCAGTGCAACCAATGCAAAACGTTAGTCTGGAGCCCTGCAGGGGCAGATTTAAATTTGAAATGTTTAATTCAGTTATATGTGTTACTTTCCATTTTTAATTTAAAAAGAACTATTGAAATTAAATCTACTGGGCCTGAAAAAAAACAACCAATCAGAGCCATGACAACTAGTTTATTGCTAAGTCTCCCAGGGCATCAAATACAGATTCATATAAAAACACTTAACAATCAACTATCTGCAATCCTCCAACTCAAAGCGTCTTTGTATCCCTTTCGGCTCTGATTAGTTGTTTTCGTTCAGATTCGGATTCTTACAAATGCTATTAGGAGCTTTAATTTCCCCCATATTAAGATAATGAATCACGAGCGTCACACTATGACATATATGAGACCATAAACATTACACCAGTATTTCCTGGGAATTCTCTGCAAATGCCAAATGTATTAAACCTGGGAAACAGCTGCAGGAACCTGGGACCAAAATGTATGTTACACAAGGCCCTCTACAAATGAGCCTAATAATATGGGACCTTGTTGATATTGTAACTTAGTGTTAGAGACCCATAAACATACTTTCACTTCATCAAAATACCAAAACTAACTGACATGAAGTGAAACTACCCAGTGAAAAGACCACAACCACTAAATTCCCTGACTTAGTGGTGGTAGTGGTCAGTGATGGGAATAACGGCGTTATAAATAACGACGTTACTAACGGCGTTACTTTTTTCAGTAACGAGTAATCTCATTGATTACTCTTCCCATCTTAATAACGCCGTTACCGTTACTGCCAGGAAAATGCGGCGCGTTACTATAATTTAATCTGTTTTTTTCATCAGACCAACTAGATCTTTTTTTTTACTGTTCTTCCTTGGTTAGTGGGCAGTGCACGAGACAAGCGCATAAATGCTGACGATTGGCTGAGGTTGAGTAAAATTTCATGGTAAGCCAATCAGAGGCAGAGTTGGGCAGGTGTTCGAAAGCACGCATAGTCCGACACACAACGAATAACCCAAGCGAGTCAGTCAACGAGAGACAGGTATGGCGAGTTGTGTTGCATCTTATTACATTTGCACTAAAAACAGTGTATATATTGTTTGAATACATTTTTGGTGCATTGCTTAAAGAGCATCATTTAATTTAGATTTATTTGTTGGCTGGCTGCAGTCTCTTGAAGTGAGATTGTCAATGGCCAGGATTATTTTTATGGAGGTGTATTTTTTATTTCTTATGTATTACCTGTTTATATTTGGATTCCTTAGTTTTGCTATACATTGTACTTTTCAGTTAGATTGAAAACACCTCATATTGTTACACTGTTCCACTTTTTCGAGTAGTACAGTATATCTACAATTGTCGGAAGTTTTTTTTTAAAATTTGCACTACAAAGAGTGTATATATTTGTTATTTATTTTTGGTATAGTGCTTAACAAGCATAATTTAATTTTGTCCAGTTGTGGCCTGTTGAGGGGCAATAAATATCAAAAGTTCAAAAACATCTATTGTGTTATTTGTATGGATCCACTATATAAACATAATATCTACATACATGGTATTTGATTGGAGGCTAGTCTCACTTTGTTCCACAGCAACATTAAAATAGTGTAGACTTGTGTACATTGTTTCTGTTAATAATGTATTGTATTAAGTGTCCATTTCATTATAATATTCAGATTTATCATAAATAATTGAACATGTATTTTAAGTTCCGTTAAAGAGGGGTGGAGGTGGGGTCACATTTGAGCATTTAACAATTTACTTGAAAGTAACGCAATAGTTACTTTCTGAAGTAACTAGTTAATTTTATAATTTGTAACTGAGTAACTAATTTAGTTACTTTTGGAAGAAGTAACTAGTAACTGTAACTAATTACTTTTAAAAAGTAACTTGCCCAACACTGGTAGTGGTGGACAATTTAGTTTAATCATTTTAAAGTACTGAAAAAGCATTCACCCCCCCTCCCACCAGAGAAACCCGTTCCCACCTGCTACACCTCCATTTTGGCCCCAAGCTCACCTTTGCTGCAAAAAAATCATGGGCTCCATTGACCAGCAGTTCTGGATCATCTGAATGGAGACACATACAGCAGTCACTTAGTGCTAGTACTAGGAAAACAATGTACAGTGGATTCTTGCAAATGCCATCAAGAGTACTAGAAGGAGTCAGAAGAACCAGATTTTTTCACCTTTGATTTTTGTACTGTCAGGATATAGTGAAAATTTCAGCAAATATGACAAAAAGATATTTTGATAAAAAGTTACCTGTTACCGCATTAATAGAAACTGAATTATACGATTATGCCTATCGTCTGTCCATTCTGTGCCTATTATCAGAGAGCAGTTTTCTTTTTTAATGAACCAATCACACCTTTTATAAGAATGAGTCATACCTAGCAAGGGGATAAAGCAGGTAAAAGTTTCCGTCCCTTCTTGCTCAGAGTTGCATTGAGAAAGTTCCTTAAGCAGAATTTTTTTGGCTACATTGGGTGCTCTCAGACTGTTTGTGAATATGACCCCTGGTATACAATTCTTTTTTTTCTTTCATTTTAATGAAACCTAATTAGTGTCACATATTACAGCTTTCAATACTGACCTTATGGATGTTATGGTGTCATTTGGTTAATGAAATTTGATGAAAGGGTTCTTTATGGATGACTCACTAGATCTGTGTCTGTTTTATGAATCTTATATGTTCCTCTAAATGTTTTTATTCTTATTTTTTATTATTGTTTGTTTTTTCTTCTTTGATAGCAATGAGGAACCCCAATTAAGTCTTGTTTTCTCTTCTCATGTTGTACTGTATGACAGACGGGAGTCTTCAGTTACTCACTGGTTTCTACTGCCTCCATGTGGTTGTGATGGCAAGAAAGAGGGATGTCCACGCTGGAGCCCAGGAGGAGCTCACTTAACCTGTCCACTGTGGAAACACACACACACACACACACACACACACACACACACACACACACACACACACACACACACACACACACACACACACACACATATAGTGTAAAATGCCCCATAACTTTTAGATAATAGCGATAGAGATTCACATCCTGTGTTGTTGAGCTTAGGCTAGTAAAACACTTACATTTAAGGTGGGGGATAAAAATGTGGGTTCAGTTAAATAGTGAAAAGTCACTGACCCCGGTCCGTGAATTTTTGGGTCTTTGTTTTTCCTTTCCAAAAAGGGGTTAAAAAAAAAAAAAAAAAAAGGTAATTAAATTTTTTTTTTAAAAAAAAAAAAAAAAAAAAAAAAAAAAAAAAATTTTTTTTTTTTTTTTAAAAAAAAAAAAAAAAAAAAAAAAAAAAAAAAAAAAAAAAAATTTAATTTAAAAAAAAAAAAAAAAAAAAAAAAAAAAAAAAAAAAAAAAAAAAAAAAAAAAAAAAACTTTTTAAATTAAAATAAAAATAAAAAAAAAAAAAAAAAAAAAAAAAAAAATTTTTTTTTTTTTTTTTTATGAATCTGATACCAAAAAACAATAATTTTTGTACTTTCGATTTATTGCTCAGATCAAACATAGGAAATTAAATAACGGGCCACGGATCGATTTCGATTTTGATATTTAATTTTTTCGCTTTGTGCGAACCGGAAGTTATTGTCTCGTTAGCTTGATTCACTTCTTCAGTTTAACTAACGTTAGTCTTCAAAACTGAAGATCAATGATGGAGAGTTTCATCTTTTCATTCATCTTCATCTTCCTGGCGCGTGGGCGAAAAACTGCATACTGCAGTGACTAAAGTCTGCTTTCTAACTTCTTAACTTTTATTCTCTTTTTGTTCGTTCTTATTTTTCACTCTCTGAAGTCCTGTCCTCTCTAACGAGGTTGTTTGAGAGAGTTTTTGTGTTCATTTTCGTGTTTTAATGTCGCTTCCACCGGGACAGCTGCCGTTGTTTACTCCAAAGAACAGCTGATCTAATGCCGGTCGGTACGGTGGACAGAACAGCTGATCTACCAGCTGAACTCTGGAGGAAACACACCGGGGATGAAGGGGAGGGAAGTAACGTCGGGGAAGAGAGGAGGATGGAGACGGGACGGGTTTATGGAGAAGAGAAGATTGAAGCAGAGTCTCCCTCTGTTGTTATGGTGATGTGCGGTCTCCTAGCAGCGGAATGTACGAACTGACGGCATTGCGGGCCCCGCAGAGTACCGGGAGTCTGGTGTGTGTCACTGAGACAGGGCTGCACAGGGACATCACGGACCGGAGCATATCTGTCGGTGTCCTCCACACCGTCCGGGCGGACCGGGGTTGTACCGGGAGCGAACAGCTGCAGTTGGACTCCATATCATCTACCGAGAGAGATCCTGCACGTCATCATCGTTGTCGTACATCCCTCTGCAAACCCAACATCTGCTATGAGCCTCTGCTGAAGAGGAAGCCTGGACCACTTTACACTGTGTGACTTTATATTATATTATATGTATATTCTTAATATATTTATGTCTAATTCATATGGAGCATGTAACGAAAGTAATTCCCCCTGGGTTTATTAAAGTGTCTGATTGTGATTGTTCAGAGGAACTAAACGGTGACTGTCAGAACATCACTGGATCTCCATCTGCTGCAGCCGAGTAGAAATCTCTACATGTGTCTTGCCAGTTTCAAATAAGTCCTTAATAAGTCCTTAAATACAGAGTACAATAAGTCCTTAAATACAGAGTACAATCACTGCAGGATTGACTTTTTTCAGGGTTTGCGAAACTGCTGCAAACTTCCAAGTGCAACACACGAAGAAGACAATAACTTCCGGTTCACACAAAACGAAAACATTAAATATCAAAATCAAAATCAATCCGTGGCCTGTTATTTAATTTCCTATGTTTGATCTGAGCAATAAATCGAAAGTACAAAAAATGAACCGTTATTTGTTTTTGGTATCAGATTCATAAACAATTAAGGAAATAACAAACCGTTTTTTCATTTTCCGATTTTGGAATCTCAATTGAATATGAAAAGAACGAATGATACACGGATTGGAAAAGGCCGGTTGTTTCATATTCTGAAACCGGATGTTGTCATTAACAGGACGGTGCTGTGTAGAAGAAACAGTATGCTAGTAGACTGCGGTCAATCCAGCCGTGAGTCCGATCTCCGTGGTCAAATCAGCCGCACTTAAATTCAGAGTGTACAAGTATTCTCAGCATTATGGTAAATGGGAGAAAAGTATTTACTTCCGGTTTTCAAATAAAGGTATTTAGAGCCGTAAGCTATAATTAAAATATGTTACATTTAAGTCTTGTGCCCCTGATGAATAAAAAAACACTTTATATCAAGTATCTTTACTGCACCAGTGTGGAGAAATGCCAAAATAAAAGCCTCATATTTATGCCTCCAGAGACTGCATATTTGACCATATTTGAGGTACTGTAAAAACATATTGCTCAGTGTTTCCTGGCTACCGATGGTATATTTGACTTTTACACATATGAGACTACAAACATACTTAATATCAAGCATTTTTACTATACAACTTTGGAGAAATTCAACAATAAAAGTCCCATATTTGTACCTCCATGTGGCATAATTTCATATATTTGAGCTACTGTAAAAACACTCTGCTCAATAATTCCTGGCTATGGATGGTATATTTGACTTCTACACATCTAAGACCACAAGTATACTTAATATCAAGCATTTTTACTGTACCAATTTGGAGAAATTGAAGAATAAAAGTCCCATATTTATACTTCCAGATTCCATATTTTCTTATATTTTTGAGCTACTGTAAAAACATATTGCTCAATATTTCCTGGCTATGGGTGAAGCATTTTCATTATACTTCAATAATGCTGCAGTAATCATGACAAAATTTCACACAAATGTTTAATAACATCTTGATAATATAAACACTAAACACTAAACACTAAATCCTACACAATTCTAATTTGTTTACTTTTCACACAATGCAATGCCAGTCCACATTCTTCTTATTTTGCAGCTCTGCTGTGTCCATTTGTAGGTAAAAGGGAAAAATAATTAGTTTTAACTTCAAAACACCATTGTACCTACTGTCTCTTCCTACATATTATTTTTTATATTATTCTGTGACAGCTGTTGCAGGTGGTTCCACATACAGTTTACATTTTTACAGCAGCTCAAATATAAGAAAATATGGAATCTGGAAGTATAAATATGGGACTTTTATTCTTCAATTTCTCCAAATTGGTACAGTAAAAATGCTTGATATTAAGTATGTTTGTAGTCTCATATGTGTAAAGTCAAATATACCATCAGTAGCCAGGAAACACTGAGCAATGTTTTTACAGTACCTCAAATATGGTCAAATATGCAATCTCTGGAGGCATAAATATGAGGCTTTTATTTTGGCATTTCTCCACACTGGTGCAGTAAAGATACTTGATATAAAGTTTTTTTTATTCATCAGGGCGCATGAAACACTTTAATGTAACATATTTTAATTATAGCTTACGGCTCTAAATACCTTTATTTTGAAAACCGGAGTAATACGCTGTTTCTCGCATTTACCATAATGCTGAGAATACTTGTACACTCTAAATTTAAGTGCGGCTGATTTGACCACGGAAATCGGACTCACGGCTGGATTGACCGCAGTCTACTAGCCTACTGTTTCTTCTACACAGCACCGTCCTGTAAATGACAACATCCGGTTTCAGAATATGAACAACAGGCCTTTTTTGTTTCTGTTTTCTAGTGATTTTATTTTTTGTTATATGAAATAGAAAATGAAAATCGAAAATTTGTTTTTAATTTCGCTCATCCCTTTTGACCACGAAAAGAAAAGCCTTGTATTTCAATTTTAATTTTTGTATTTTAAAACGAAATCAAATAACCACTCGTTTTCCTTTTTTTAATACCCTTTTTAAAAAAAAAAAAAAAAAAAAAAAAACATACACGGACCGACCCCAAAATCAAAAATACATTGGCTCTGACTGGTCGCTTTTGTTCAGGCCTGGTGGATTCTTGCAAATGCCATTAGGAGCACTAGGGGGAGCCAGAGGAACCAGATTTTTTCACAGATTATCTGTCTCATGTACTACTGTCAGGATATAGTGAAAACAAATATAAACTGCAACTTTAATACCATTAGCTCTCTTACTGGAAACAGGTGTAGTTCTGTCCAGACTAACAAAGAAAGTATGCTGTTGTTCTGTCCAACTGCGGTTTGATGTACACACTTTCCACCGGTGTTGCAAGCCAACAAATAACCATTATTTTTGTTAAACATGAAACTAGGTTTGTTACCTTCAGCTGTGGCATCCAGTAGGAGTTTCTCCGCACGGGGAGCTTGGGGGGTGTCTGCCCTGAACAAGTAACGAGTAATTGGAGGCTGGAGGCCCTCCTGACCACTCGTCACCTCTGCCAGCTCACAGAACAGAGTCACCCTCTCCTGCAGCAGCTCCAGCATTTCCCGGTCCTTCTGCTGGAGGTCAGCTGTGGGTGAGGGGTGTGAAGATTAATAAATCATACATCAAACAATTAATTTCAATTCAATTCAGTTTTATGTGTATTGCGCCAATTCATAACAAAAGTTATCTCAGGACACTTTTCAAATAGAGAAGGTCTAGAGTGTACTCCTAAACACAAAGTCAAAGTCACAAGCATGGGAACCCTCACAGTATATGCTGCAATCACCATTTGTATTACATCTAGGCCCCATAAACTAGTCAACAAGGGAGTATGAATGCTCTTTTAAGTAAAGAGTTAAGTTAATAGTAATAGACAGCATAAGCCTCGGTCACTCAGAAATACATGTATGAAAATGTTCCTTCCTTTCTCTCTCCTGACCTTTGAGTCTCCTCAGATGGGCCTTGTGTTCGGTCTCTATGAGGGGGAACTCCTCTCTTGATGGGCACCTTAACAAGCGAAAGCACAGACCACACAAACCTTGTTAGCGGTAATGGGACAGACATGGATGTATTCTGTTTGTTTTTAGCACTTTTAACTATTAGGGGTGTAAAGAGGTACTTCATCAGTCACTGAAACAGAGATGCAGACATACCACAGATCAAATTAAAGGTTAAAGGGAAACTCATCATTGTTAAATTACAGGAATAAATCTTACTCTGTAAAAGAATGTTGAAGTATTTTTTTTAAAGCTGCAGTAGGTAAAAAAAAAACATCTGGTCATATTTGTTGAAACTTTTACTTTATCCTGACAGTACATGAAACAGACAATCTGTGAAAAAATCTGGTTCCTCTAGTGCTAGTCATAGTCGAGTTCTATTTCTCAACTCTGATTGGTTGTTTTCATTCAGGCCCGGGGGATTCTTGCAAATGCCATTAGGAGCTCTAGGAGGAGAACCTGACTTTTTCACAGATTATCTGTCTCAGATTATCTGTGACAGATGTTTATAAAAATTACCTACTGCAGTTTTAAATTACAGAAAGGAATATATGTCTGTGTTGGTGCATTTGCCCACTTGCTGACGGTGCGCTGGATGTAGCGTATCCAGACGTTCTTGTCCTCCTTGGAGGCAGCGTGGAACTCGTACATTTCAGGAGGGGAAGAGTCACTGATGAGGAACATGCCTCTCTCTTGATTGGCTATATCCCTTACTATGAGGTTCTGGAGGGACAGCACTGGAGGCTTGTCCTGTATCACACACAGAGAATTATTTGGAGAAAGTAATACAGAGAGAGAGAGAGAGAGAGCAAACACGAGCAGCAACAACAGCATGAACAGTTCAGTCAGACAACTCACGTTTAAAATGTTTATTACAGCAGTATAGCATATTTAGATTTTGGCGTCTAAGGCTCTGACCTCATCGTTCCCTGCAGATATGTTATATAGAGATATTGGGGAGTGATGAGCAAATACCTTAAATCCCTAGCCGGAGCCTACAGGTGGATGCTGGGGTGGTGGTGGAGCTTACAGAGCAGCAGGCAGCAATAGCTTACAGAGCAGCAGTCAGCAATACTGATGCAGGACAACAGCGGCATTGACAGAGCAGAGGGAGAGCTGGGAAATTGTACAGTTTAAATAGACCGCCAGATTGGAAGGGTTACGGAGTGAGACATGTCATGTGTGTATAGCAGCTCGAGTTGACTGCCTGAACTAGCTTGCAGGCTTCACTCCATTTGTTTTTCCAGTCAGCTTCGCACCAAAAGCCCACTTATATTAGTGTGAGTACATTTTCTTACCAGACCAGATGGAAAGATGTACCTCTGGTCTTTCTCCTGCAGAAACACCAGGATGTCTGTCATCAGTAAGACCTGTGTATCTACACACACACACACACACACACACACACACACACACACACACACACACACACACACACAAGTTGTATTTTCCATCATTCAATCCTGAAACCAAACCTAGAAGTCTGCAAGAGCTTTTGCTGCCATCTTATGCTTAAGTTTAGTTTATAGTAGTTTAAACCTAAAGTCAATGCAAAGACGCAAATAGTAAGAATCCATGCTGGGTGAAGTGGGAGACGTGAATTGCAAAAACATGCAAGATATGGCTTCATTCACACTGGTTGAAAATATTCAACATTGAGCAAAAACATTGGTCTGCAGCAGGAAAGCAGGGGCCAGATCCATAAAAATTGTGCTCCCCACAAGAGGGGACAACCTGGTAAGAGCTGAAAATATGTCTGTTATTTGATTCCAGTTATCTGTTTTAGACAGACTTGACAAAGTCCGAATTTAGAAGTTTTACAAATCGGCATCATGATGTAGTTATTTTGGCATCGTTTTGATCCAGAATTAAAGGGCCAATTTTTGCCGCAGATAACGTGGATTAAAGCTGCTTTAGGAAACTTTTATGAAAATAACTTCAAATAAACGTCAAATACAGACGTTATGGGACCCTAGGAATGAAACTCAACAATCAAATATCTTTCTTGGCTCTGATTGGTTGTTTTAATTCTGGGCCAGTGGTTTGCCATTAGGAGCACTAGGAGGAGCAGATTATCTGTCTCATGTATTGCTGTCAGAACACAAAATTTCTATAAAAATCTATAAGTTATATAAGTTACCTACTGCAACTTTAAATGTATAGTGCCAGACAGAGCTAACATGATATGATTCTCTGCAACACTACATGTAATGTACTTCCACACCCACTAATACTTCCACAGTGTTGTGTACCTTTGGCCCGGGATCCTGGATTTTTCCAGAAAAGGGTCCCTTCGTGGACGAGTCTCCGGCGGAGCAACTCTCCAGGCTTGAAAAGTCCCCCATTCCTTACTCTTGCCTCAGTCCTCGGGTCCAGCTTGGCCTGGATCTCTTGCAGTCGCTGTGTTTTCTCCAGGTCCTCCATCTGCCAACCAAATTCAATAGAGAGAATTAATGAACATGAATGAATCTAACTGATCTGATTGCAGTTAAATACAATATAGCAGGAGACATTACAAAAAAACTGGTGCACTTGTTCATCTTAAACTGATCCAATATATGAATCGGTGCTGACCTTAGTAAAAATACTTATATGGATCTGCCACCTCTTTTCAAGTATTTTTCAAGTAGCCATTTTGAACTTTTAGTCCAGGCCAGTTTGAGCGTATAGAGGGGCACATAGGGAATAAATAAGAATGGTGCACAGGTTCAAGGATACCTTTAAATACTGTGCTTAGTCACTATGATTACATTACATTCATTTGGCCCTATTTACGCCTGCTATTAGGAGATAATAAATTATCTGATCTTGCCTTTGCGTTTACACCCGGTATTTTAATGCATTCTCGTTATCCTCATTTGAAACTGTGTTCAATATATATTCTGAATTATTTGTCACTTGTAAATTGTGTAAATGTAATAAGTTATTCCTACATTTGTATAAAAAATATTAAGTCAGTCTGTCCTGGTGTGTGGTACGCAGTACCAGCGTGCAGGCTACTTTGTGACTACTACAGTATTTCTTTAATTTTCATGCTGATGCTGTTGAATAACGCATCTTTTAAGCTGCAAAAGATGCGGCACAAAATCATCTTCTATTATAGCCAATACGTTACTCATACAGTATTTTGGTACCTGTTGGTCAATTGAACTAAGAAGTTCTCTGATCATGGAGAGAGCCTGAGCCAGAGAGGAAGCTTCTTCTTCATCATCTGGAAGAGAAACAAATGAATAGGATTATTGTGGAAGTACAAGAAGCTATGGCTACAGACACCGTCACTCAAACTGCTTATAGACAGGTCCAAAGATTGCTTTTAGAAAGAACTGGGTTGGTGACAGTTGCTTGCATATAAACTGCGTGCAGTAAAGCTGTTTTAAATCATCTAGGTGCAGTAAAACTATATACACAAGTTTTTCATAGGGAACTTGAATGTCTGGCGATTGATCAAGAGTATAAAAGCTGTGACATTACACGTCTCATAGTTTTAAACAAATGATGCCAATCACAGTGCTGCATGAGGAAAATGGCTGACCTAATATCCATGTAAGAAAAACAAAATGCCAAGATGTGAATACTCCAAGCTGTTGAATGTGGATACAGTGAATGTCCTGTATTGTCATGTTGTCAAGGCCTATTGGTAATTGGTTTTACTTTAGAGATAAAGTTAGAAGATAAATTAGAGATATACACATGTGGACAAAATTGTTGGTAACCGTTAAAGTAAGAAAAACCCACAATGTTCACTGAAATAACTTGAAACTGACAAAAGTAATAATAAATAATAATTTACTGAAAATGAACTGAAGAATGAAAATCAGACATTGCTTTTGAATTGTGGTTCAACAGAATCATTTTATAAAACAAACTAATGAAACTGGCCTGGACATGTTAAACAAAGGTGTGTCCTGTAATTAGCATCACAGGTGTCTTCAAACTTGTAATCAGTCAGTCTGCCTATTTAAAGGGTGAAACGTAGTCACTGTGCTGATTGGTATCATGGTGTGTACCACACTGAACATGGACCACAGACGGTGATGAGAGAGTTGTTTTAGGAGATTAGAAAGAAAATTATAGACTAGCATGTTAAAGGTAAAGGCTATAAGACCATCTCCAAGCAGCTTGATGTTCCTGTGACTACAGTTGCACATATTATTTAGAAGTTTAAGGTCCACGGGACTGTAGCCAACCTCCCTAGACGTGGCCGCAAGAGGAAAATTGATGACGAATTGAAGAGACAGATAATACGAATAGTAACCAAAGAGCCCAGAACAACTTCCAAAGAGATTAGAGGTGAATTCCAAGGTCAAGCTACATCAGTGTCAGATCACACCATCTATCGCTGTTTGAGCCAAAGTGGACTGAATGGAAGACAAATCATAAAAAAGCAAGACTGGAATTTACCTAAATGCATATTGACAAGCCACAAGGCTTCTGGGAGAATATCGTTTAGACAGATGAGACGAAACTGGAGCTTTTTGGCAAGTCACATTAGCTCTATGTTCACAGACGCAAAAATGAAGCATACAAAGAAAAGAACACTGTACCTACTGTAAAACATGGAACAGGCTCGGTTATGTTTTGGGGCTGCTTTGCCGCATCTCGCACAGGGTGTCTTGAATTTGTGCAGGGTACAATGAAATCTCAAGACTATCAAGACATTCTGGAGTGAAATGTGCTGCCCAGTGTCAGAAAGCTTGGTCTCAGTTGCAGGTCACAGGTCCTCCAACAGGATAATGACCCAAAACACACAGCTAAAAACACCCAAGAATTGCTAACAGCAAAACATTGGACTATTCTGAAGTGGCCTTCTATGAGCCCTGATCGAAATCCTATTGAATATCTGTGGAAGGAGCTGAGACATGCAGTCTGGAGAAGGCACCCTTCAAACCTGAGACAGTTGGAGCAGTTTGCTCACGAGGAGTGGGAACAAAATACATGTTGACAGGTGCAGAAGTCTCATTGAGAGTTACAGAAATCGCTTGATTGCAGTGATTGCCTCAAAACGTTGTGCAACAAAATATTAAGTTCAGGGTACCATCACTTGTGTCCAGGCCAGTTTCATTAGTTTGTTTTTTAAAATGATTCTGTTGAACCACAATTCAAAAGCAATGTTTGATTTTCATTAATTATTATTTATTATTACTTTTGTAATTCAGTGACCATTGTGGGTTTTTCTTTCTTTAACAGAAGGGTACCAACAATTTTGTCCACATGTGTAAGTATTAACTGCATGTGCAAACTTCCTCTCATTTTATTTTGAAGTGAAATAAATAGTTTCATGACAAAAAAAAAAGAATAAGTGGACTGATAATAAGGTCATTGTGACTAAGGTGATTCACCAGTGGTGTTGTCCAGAATGCGCTGGATAAGGACAGGATACTTGGAGATCCGTTGAGTCACCAACAAGATGCACTCCTGAACACCATGGCAACGTAGCAAGGGTCCTCGACTCACCCGCTGCCCAGAAAAAAAAGACACACAATGACCAAATGATCCTAGCTGTCATTTCTTACCACATTTTCTCACCTTTGAGGAAACAAAAAAGACCACTGTTAAAGCTAATTTTAAAAAAAAACAACAACTTTTTATCATGTTTGCTGAAATTTTCACTGTGTCCCGACAGTAGTACATGAGACAGATAATCTGTCTGGTTCCTCTGGCTCTCCTAGTGCTCCAGGCATTTGCAAAAGTCCCCCGGAATCCACAGATTATCTGTCTCATGTACTACTGTCAGAATACAGGGAAGATTTCAGTAATATTAACAAAAAGTATTTTTTATAAAAGTTACCTACTGTAGCTTTAAAGAACCAGTGTCTAGTGGCATCAAGCAGTGAGATTGCAGTTTGCAACCACCTGAAACTCCTTGACTTAACCAAGTGCAAAGGAGGAACCACGGTGGCCACGTAACTCACAAAAGGTCCTATTTAGAGCCAGTGTTTCATTTGTCTGTTCAACATGGTGGACTATCTACGTTCCCTCTGTAGATAAAAACTGCTCATTCTAAGGAAACAAAAACACATAGATTCTTATATTCAGGTGATTATACATTAATGAAAACATACCCATGACTATTATATTATGATTTCTTCCAATAGATCCTCCTTAATGTTACACACTGGACCTTTAAGTAATGGACAGGTAAGTAAGATACATAAACTGGAAAAATGAGAAGCAAAATAGCAGTGAAAAGAGTTAAAATCTTTTAGACTTCCCTTTTCGGTTTCTTTAAAAACTGTAAAATGTTTGGCTTTATGTGCATGGTGACCTGGATTCTACAGTTAAAATTGCAATTCCTGTTGACAGTTTGACAGCTGCTACTTCCTGTCATTTCAGAGCATTCTTTGCCTGCCCTGCAGTTTCCTGCCATCAGTCATAGCCTGACCCCCACACCCACCTCCCAACCAGCTACCAGCTTCCCAGCACATACACCTCCCTGCAAGTGTTTAGAGCAGCTGTTGTCAACCTGTGGGCCGTCAAGCAAATACACACAATACAGCTAGAGGATTTTATAATAACATCCTAAAAATAACTGAAAAAATTATCTCTATCAGCAATATTTACAAGAAATGTAAACAATTCATCCAAATCTCTTGTTTTACACAAACTTCCTGCAATTATTGTTTTCATTGTTCGGGTTCATTGTACAGTTTATCAGTTATTCTCTCTGTTATTGTTTAGCATTGAATATAATATAAAATATCCATAAAATATTTTACTTAGTTAACTCAATAATAAAAAAGGTTGGGAACTACTGCTCTAACAGGGCCTTTTCCAGTGGGGAAATGCCTCCAATATTTCAAGCCATACCTTTGCCCTCCTCTGTCAACACTTTTGGTGGCCCACAAGGAGAAGAGCTGTACTTTGTCGTCCGGTGTGCTCTCAGCACAAGGTCTCTCGTTGCACTCCAACCTCTCCTGGCCCCAAAATCATCTCACCCTGATCTTTGCTACCAGTCTGGCCACATCCAATGGTAATACAGTTAGTCATACTAAGGGCCCTATTCACCTCTTCAATTCCAACAGGCAGACTGAGTCCATGTACCAGGAGACCAGGAGTCACCATGGGGGCGGCTGTGGCTCAGAGGCAGAGCGGGTCGTTCCTTAATCGGAAGGTTGTGGGTTCAATCCCCGGCTCCTGGTGCCGCGTGTCGAAGTATCCTTAAACAACATACTCAACCCTAAATTGCTCCCGATGCCGTGTGTATGAATGTTTCTGTTCAATGGACTTTGCCATCACTGAGTGAATGTGTGTGAAAGGGTGAATGTGGCACATAGTGTAAAAGCGCTTTGAGTGGTAGGAAGACTAGAAAGGCGCTATACAAGTACAGGCCCATTTACCCTGTCGCTGTATCACTTCACAAAATGAGGAGCCAACAACTCGTCTGGAGTAGGATTTCCTTCCTTTCAGTTATTGTTTGACTTACAGGATGTGGGCTGATGGTATAAGCCTGCCATTGGTTTTCTTGCTGGGATCAATTGGAAGCCTGATTATCTATTGGTGGGGCAATGTAATTTATAGTTAAAGCTGCAGTAGGTAACTTTTATTTAAAAAGAAATGTTTTGTCATATTTGCTGAAACTTTCAGTATATCCTGACTGTGGTACATGAGACAGATAATCTGTTCCTCTGGCTCCTCCTAGTGCTCCTAATGTTATGCGCAAGAATCCACCTGATTGAAAACAACCAATCAGAGCTGAGAACAATATAAAGGGTTGGAAGATTTAAGACAGTTGATTGTGGTTTGGGAGGCAGACACACTCTCCACATTTAAGAGTAGGCTTAAGACGTTCCTCTTTGATACAGCTTATAGTTAGGGCTGGATCAGGTGAGTCCTGAACCATCCCTTAGTTATGCTGCTATAGGCCTAGACTATCGGGGGATTTCCCATTTCCCATGAGCTCCTCTCTTCCTCTCTCTCTTTCTGCACTCATTCATGTCCCATTAATGCATGTTACTAACTTCACTTCTTCCCCGGAGTTCTTGTGCTTTCTCGTCTCGCAGGTTCTCATGGATCCTGGTGGAGCCTCCTGCCATGGTCCTGCTTGACTGCCATTGCTAATATCACTGATATTATTGTTATTATTATTATTATTATTATTACTATTATTATTACTACAGTTACTATTATAACTATTGTCACTGCTCATTGTCCCCCATCATTGTTGTCGTCGTCGTCGTCATCATCTTCTTCATGTTCATCATCAGTCACTACTATTAGTGTAGTTGTTGCTACTGTTGTTGCTGTGCATCTGTCTGTCTGTCTGTCTGTCTGTCTGTCTGTCTCTCTCTCTCACCCCAACTGGTGGAGACAGACGACCACCCACCTAGAGCTGAAGGGTCTGTCTGAGGTTTCTGCCTCTAAAAAGGCAGTTTTTCCTTGCCCCCATCACCAAGTGCTTGCTCATGGTGGTACTGTTGGGTCTTTTTAAATAATGTTATAAGGAGTTCGGTCTAGACCTGCTCTATTTGAAAAGTGTTCTGAGATAACTTCTGTTATGAATTAGCGCTATACAAATAAAATTGAACTGAATTGTTGAGTTTCTGATTCTCAGGGTCCCAAAGCGTCTGTATTGGACGCCCTGGGAATGAGACCCCATGATTGCCCATCTTTCTCGTCTCTGATTGGTTGTATTAGTTCAAGGTGGATTCTTGCTAATGCAAATGCAATTAGGAGCACTAGAAGGAGCCAGATGAACCTGCTTTTTTTCTGTCTCATGTACTACTGTCAGGATATAGTGAGTTTCTATATGACAAAAATATTTGTACAAAAATTACCTACTGCAGCTTTAATATGTGAATAATCTCCCTTTTTCCATTGTAAAGCACAGGCTGCTCTGTATTTGGATGTGTCTATCTCACCCGTATGAAGCACTGGAACCTCTTGTCTCTGGCCAGCAGTTCCTTGTACGATTTGACAGCCTTCAAGTGGCGGCTACAGAACTCTGCGTAGGTCTTCCGCATATCATCTGCACACTGGCCTGAGAACTGGCAGAAGAACACACACACAAGCTGTTTCGAATGGGCTTGCAAAATTTCTATTATAGAATTATAATAATCATAATTATAATTATATAGCCAGTTGGCTCTTGGTTTATGTGAGAATGCATGGCAGTCACCTGCTCTAGTAGTATGTCCCCTAGCTGTTGAATGGTAAAGTTGCGGCTGGATCCAGGCTGCAGACTGTTGTTGCGCCGCAGGAGAAGTTGTGCCAGGAAATGGGAATGTATCCTGATCAGCTGGTCCAGGCAGGGGAACATGGCATGCACAGTGCTGGGGTCCAGCTGAAGCTCCTCCAGCATACCCTGCCGGAACACCCTTTCCATGATATGCAGTGTTCGCATGTGGTGCAGCTCTGTCTGAATCAGTTCTAAAAGGGGACACATACCCACATTACACACATTAAAATCACAAAGCAGACCGTAGCATTTAATCTTAGTATTACAATCTAGTTTATTGAATTTCTAGACTATGGGTCAATAAACTACTGCTAAAAAACGGATAATGTTCTTGTCACCATAGATGACGTCCTGCCTCTTGATGATGTTTTTACGGTGTGCCTGCAAGTAACTGCTGTCCACTGCCATGCTCCATGAGTCTGCCTTAAAGTCCTGACCCTCGAACTCCAACTCCTCCAGTACTGAAGTATAGTAGATGTCTCCTAAACAAGAGAGAGCCATCAGCATAAAAGATCACAGATCAACATCAACTGAGCTTTGTACTGTACTACCACGGTGTGAAGAGACAACTTGACATTTCTCTTGTGCCTTTGTTCAAGCTTATATATATTCATACATTAATATAGCAGCAAACAATTATTAGCTTTTGTTAAGATATAGTGGAGTCATGGTGACCTGAGCAGAGAATGTTGTCACACTCCCCCTGCCTGTGTTGTTATCGCAGATTCTCTGTGGTTTGTTGACAAAGATGGTCAGGACTTTATTTAGACCAAACCAGAGTTGTTGATTGTTGGAACAGTGGACTGACTTACAAAGATGGTTTTACTGAGTTTTATTTTGTTTCTGTCTACTTTGAATGAAGTTACAATGTTACAATGATATGTGAGGTAAAATTAACGATTTTGTCTATGGAGTCTGGTGGCGAGTGATATTAACATACTTTGAAGTACCTGTTCACGTTGGTCTATGTCAGTAAAGCTTTCTATACTGATATACTAGAAATATTATTTAGTACTTGTTAGGGTGCTTACTTATATGTATTTTTGTGTTCATTTTACAGCTCTACAAATGACAGATTTCCCTCTATTAAATCCTGCCAAATACAACAACCTGTTACTTGGGAGATTGCAGTGCTGGAAAATATGAATAAATGTATAAATATGTTGGGTTGGCTGTATAGCTGAAAAATATGTTGCCTGCAACAACTTTTAGTGAGGACAGCTATTGTGTGATAAACAAGTTGTTAGTAGCAGTCTGACATGTGAACAGAAGTGTTATTTTTCAGTCAGCAAAGGGTATACCCACTTCTAAATCCCCTTTGATATGCATCATTCAGTAGGGATTTGCAAGCTTTTTTTTTAGGATGAAGAAGACATGACATAGTTTCCAAGTTTTAAATTTTTCCTGAGTGGATAGAGTAAGCAATAAGGTATACTTCACTAAAAAAAGCATAATTATGCAGTTGTCTCACCGTACAGTCTGGCCAGTATTGATTACAAAATCTGCACCTCTTCTGTGGCTAATGTTAACTTCATAATGATCCATACTCCCTGAAGTCAAGCAGCAAAAGTTATGATAATGTTAAAATACTACTGACCCATTTTTGGGTGAGCTAAATGTGAAAGAGTAGGGCGTCCTTTTCTGGATGTGCTGCTTTAATAAGATTTAGGGCATACATTTAGAGTATACTGACTTCTTTAGTGTTCCATGATAGCTTTAAAAGAATGATCAAGTTTCCTTGTGTATTCCTCTAGTCATCCAGTGTCCTTTAAAGTATTAAAGTATATATACTGGAAAATGCAGTAAGACTGAACGGAGGTGCCTGTAGTCTTGTGAGTACATAATGGCAGAATTACATTTGCACATAATGTAGATCTAACAGAAACAAACGCATGGTGTAACATCTTTTTCGTGTCACTGGAATATCGTGCATCAGAAGATTTTTTTGTCATTTTATTGTATGAAGTACAGTTTGAATGTTCTGATACCGTCATCAGTGAGAGACTCCACAGACATAGCTCTGGTCCTGAAGTTGAGGGAGTCTGTGGACTGGGACAGGATCCTGCGCAGCCCCAGGGGAGAGTCATCATTTAGGGTCCTACAACACACACATACAAGGCTTAATGTGTACTAATTATTTAGCCTTACAATATGAAAATAAACTGCAGTACAGACAGTCTGTGCGGTCAGGAAGTAGTGGCCCAGCAGAGCCTGCTGTTAATAATCCTGTTTAACCTCAGCCCATGTAGCGTGAATTATAAGGCAAAATGAGGCCTAAGCATTTCAGGTCCCTCGACTCTGAATATTAAATGTTTTGACCATCTTGAGGAAGAAGTAAGAATTAAATTACGTACAGAACTAACCAAAATAATGCAATTTAAAAAGTTACTAAACATAACTAATGTCAGTCCTGTATGTATTTTAAAAAGATGATAAATAGTTTTAAGAAATAGAAATTGTGAACCTTAGTTAGGTTGCTCTAGGCCTATACTATCAGGGGATTTCCCATGATCTGGGGTCTTTTGCTGGACCTGCTACCCCTGCGAACCGACTCCAGATAAGCAGATGATGATGATGATGATGATGATGATGATGAATTGAACAGCAGTTTTGGTTTGTTGAGCTTTGCATTTATCCATTTAGTAGTTTTGTCAACTATGTATCCATTACTCTTTTCAAATGAAGCTAGGCTAGACCATACCTTATCCCTGGTAGGGCTCCCTAGAGAAATGTGCCTTAGCTGCCTGTGCCCAACTTAGGGTTAAGAAGTAAATGGTAAATGGACCTGTACTTGTATAGCGCCTTTCTAGTCTTCTAACCACTCAAAGCACTTTTACACTACATGCCTGATTTCGCCCCTTTGCCACATTGATGGCAAAAGTGATGGCAAAGCCCATGGAACAGAACTCATTAATACACATTCACACATCGATGCACAGTATCAGGAGCAATTCGGGGTTCAGTATATTGCTCAAGGATGCTTGGATACTTGGACACTTGGAGGGAGGAGCAGGGGATGGAACCAATCGAGGACGACCCGCTCTGCCTCAGCCACAGCTGCCCAGAAGTGCGCTTTACATTGTATCTGGCTAATGGAAGTGAGGCTCACCCTGCAATGTTGTTGGTGGAGACACTCTTGGACAGGTATATGCTGGAGCGACCACGGCGGGATCCCAGCAGGGACTGTCGGAAGCTGTCGGAAGGGTAGATGGCTGAACTCGGACGCTCACGCATTCCTGGATCTATGGAATAAAAAAATGTTGCAGGCAGAGGAGGGAGGACATGAAAAGGAAGGAGGGTGACAAGGGAAAGATGTGTAGGAGGAGAAGGGGAATATAATGACAAGGAGATTAAACAAATGGGAGGGAGAAAAGGAGTTTGATAATAAAGAAGAAAACAACATTTAGAGAAAGAGGAGAAAAAGAAGCAGAGAGTCAGGAAAGACTAAGAAAATAAAAATGGCAAAAAGAGAACTAATTGAGGTACAAACTAGGTGTGTGTCAGATTTGTGTGTGTCAGTGAGGTTCTCACTTTTTGTGCGAAGACTGACATTCTGCAAGGCTGAGTTATTCCTCATTAGGGCCGTCTTCTGCTGCTGTGTGAATAAAGGACACAAATCTGTATGTATCTACAATAGAAGTCTACTGTTAAAGATCCTTGATTTAATAATTCAATTCAATTCAATTCAATTCAATTTTATTTGTATAGCGCCAATTCATAACAGAAGTTATCTCAGTACACTTTTTAAATAGAGCAGGTCTAGACCGAACTCTTTATAACATTATTTACAGAGACCCAACAGTACCACCATGAGCAAGCACTTGGAGACAAGGGCAAGGAAAAACTGCCTGTTAAAAGGCAGAAACCTAGGACAGATCCTCCGGCTCTAGGTGGGTGGTCCATCTCCACATTTAAGAGTAGGCTTAAGACGTTCCTCTTTGATAAAGCTTATAGTTAGGGCTGGATCAGGTGAGTCCTGAACCATCCCTTAGTTATGCTGCTATAGGCCTAGACTATCGGGGGATTTCCCATGGTGCACTGAGCTCCTCTCTTCCTCTCTCTCTCTTTCTTTTCTGTTCCATTAATGCATGTTACTAACTTCACTTCTTCCCCGGAGTTCTTGTGCTTTCTCGTCTCGCAGGTTCTCATGGATCCTGGTGGAGCATCCTGCCATGGTCCTGCTGGACTCCCACTGCTAATATTACTGATATTATTTTTGTTATTATTATTATTATTACTACAGCATTATTACTATAGTCACTGCATTGTCCCCCATCATTATTGTTGTTGTTGTCGTCGTCATCATCTTCTTCATGTTCATCATCATCAATCACTAGTTGTTCCTGTGTACCCCCCCTGTAAATAATTTTATAAGGAGTTCAGTCTAGACCTGTTCTATTTGAAAAGTGTCCTGAGATAACTTCTGTAATGAATTGGCGCTATACAAATAAAATTGAATTGAAATTGAATTGTTGTCGTCAACCCCAGAACTACTTTTCTTGGCTCTTATTGGTGGTTTTCATCAAGGCCTGGTGGAATCTTGCAAATGTCACTGGGACCACTGCCATTAGGAACTGATTATTTGTCTCATGTACTACTGTCATGATATAGTGAAAGTTTCAGCAAACATGATAAAAACTTATCTTTATAAAAGTTACCTACTGCAGGGTTAAAGTTCCACAGCCTGTAAGTATTACTGTAATTCACCGTTTCATTCATCTTCAAGCGAAACTGATTTAAAATCCTTAAAACATTTGTGTGGGAATAAGACAATAAGAATAAAATATTAATAATATCTTTCAGTCATTAAAGTTGTGATGATTTGTAGTGTAGCCTGTGTCCTACCCTCTGTTTCATTTTGGCGCAGTTCGGCAAAGTGTCTCGACAGCGGTTGTGGATAGTGACATTGCATGCTGGAAAAAAACAGAAAAGCTGGCATCAAGAACACAAAGATGACAGATCTCTTTCTCTCTTTCTTCTGTCTCAACATTGCAGCAACTTACACCGATCAGCCATAAGATTATGAGCTCTGACAGGTAGGTGAATAACAATGATGATCTGGTTATCATGGCACCTGTCAGTGGGTGGGATATATCAGGCAGCAAGTGAAAATTCTTTCCTCAAAGTTGATGTGTTAGAAGCAGGAAAAATGGGCAGCGTGAGGATTTTGAGCAACTTTGACAAGGGCCAAATTTTATAAGGAGTACAGTCTAGACCTGCTCTATTTGAAAAGTGTCCTGAGATAACTTTTGTCATGAATTGGAACGATACAAATAAAATTCAATTTAATTGAATTGATGGCTAGATGACTGGATCAGAGCATCTCTAAACCTGCAGCTCTTGTGGGGTGTTCCCGGTCTGCAGAGGTCAGTACCTATCAAAAGTGCTCCAAGAAAGGAAAAGAACCGGAGACAGGGTCATGGATCGGACCACACGGGCCAGTCATCACTCCCCACATGCATCAATAAGACTTGGTCGCCCAACAGAAGAGCTACTGTAGCTCAAACTGCTGAAAAAGTTAATGCTGGTTCTGATAGAAGGGTGTCAGAACACACAGTGCAACACAGTTTGTTGGTATGGGGCCGCCCAGGTGATCAGAATGTTATAGCTGATTGCTGAACCATTCCCAGAATTCAGGTGTACGAAAGAGAAGCCAAACCTATCACATAGCTCTTTTTATTCATATTTCAGTAGATACCTTCATACTCTTACTTAAAGCTGCAATATGTAATTTTTATTAAAATAAGTTTTTGTCATATTTCCTGAAACCTTCACTTTATCCTGATAGTAGTACATATGACAGATAATCTGTACAAATAAATCGGGTTCCTCTGGCTGCTCCTAGTGTCAGAACACAGGGGAAATCTCAGCAATAATAACAAAAAGTTAATTTTATAAAAGTTACCTACTGCAGCTTTAAGTAAGAACTAACTGTACTGTATTTCTAAATGAGTTTTTTGCCACTCTACCACCTCTCACTTTGTGAAGATGCAGAAGTGCAGTAACTGTGTTACTTACTGGGGCAGCTGAGTGCCTCCTTGGCAGTGATACTCTTGTTGCATGCTGAACAGAGCGTGGTTCCTGACACTGTCAACGAGGTGAAGAGATGACCATTGCTATAACGTGCCTCCCTCTCCCTCGCCGCCTTCTCTCGCTCCCTCATGCGCTCTCTCTCTCTATTCTGGAAAAGAGAACAGAGACAAAACGTGAAAAACATATATATGTATTTGTGTATTTGTGATATCATAAAGCAGATCAGATGGAGTTGAAGTTTGCTATGAGAAGGTGAACACATCAGACCGGTGGTTGAAAGGTCAAAGGTAAAAGCTGTGTGCTGACAAGTGCAGTTGGACACAAAAAGCATTTTCCTTCTCACAGTGTTCCCTTCTGTTAGCCTTCCTGCTCACTTTCCAAGCTGCATTGATGAAAATGACTGAAGGCCTTTTGAGCAAATCACTGTTCTCCATTTTGTTACTGTTGACCGGAGAGTTTAGTAAACTGCTGGAGGATTCACTTTCATTACCTCTCTGGACTGCGACCCCACAAATCATTCTTATGGCTGCTCCTCAATTACCTAATTCTCTGGTTAGTAGTCAGATACACCTTGTTTTCATCTGTGCACTGGTTTTTACTCAGCCCAAAAGGGATATTTGACCTGCTCTTTGGGGTAGCAGTATTCTCAGACTCTACTATGTATTTTAAAGTTGCACTGGATAATTTTTATAAAATACAAGAGGAAAGACATTAGAAACTGCTTTAGCAAGCAGCACTTTACTGTAAGTCACTATCTTCTTATGCAATGTAAAATAAGACGCAATGATCTGTTTGCAAACCTGAGGCTATTTCTTGGTGCAAGCTATTATTGAAAACATTTTCAACAAAATATGCTTTTAAAAAGTGATGGGGACATGTCCCCAGCATCCCTATGATAGCTGCACACCAATCCAGATTTACTGATTAACCACCAATACACAAAGCCAAATAGAAAGAAAATGGAATTATTTTATTCACCTCTCTGAAAACAGAAGTATTACTCATTTGAAGAACTGGCACAGGAAATTGTCACTGATATAAGGCAGCACTTTTAGTATTCTCAAAGCACAATTCAGCGTATTTAAGCTAGTTCCAGCGGTGGTAGTTGCCGCTGTTCTATATGACCCTCCTACAATGAAGTCAGTGTGAAGCCACTGTAGTTTTCCTGTATTTGTTCTGTTTGTGGTTTTTCCTCTCAACTGAAAGCTGCTGCTCAGAAAAGAAGAAGCTCATGATGATCACATGAACACATTTAAAAAAAGCAGAAGTGGGCAGATTGCCACATGGAAACATTTCTACTTCTTAACTATACATGGCCTCTAACTTTTGATGACATTTATTTATTTATTAAAGGAAAGAGTTTAGGAATTAAGAAAATGATTAGAGTAAGGAATATTAAGGATCATGATTTGTCACTCTTGCTATTACTAACACTAGTAATTGTGGTGGTAGTAAAATTGCTAATTGCCAAAAGTGTCACTAGTTCAGTGTATGACCAGCTGTGAAATATGGTCACAATCTCCCCTCTGTTCCTGAGATATGGTCTTGAATAACGACCAAAATGTGTTTTTCCAGGACATTATGATGTCATAGTGAAGTTGACCTTTGAACCTTTGGGTAAAACACGTCATCACTTCATCGTTGTATTGCTTAACATCTGTGTTAAAGTTTATAATAATAAATGCAGCAAATCCTGCGAGCAAGTCAACTCAAGCTGCGCTGTTATACACACATGACATGCCTTATTCCATAATCACTAACCAAGCGCACCCTTCCAATCTGCTCTGTCAATGCCGCTGTTGCCGTGCATTAGTATTGCTGACTGGAATGGATGGTAAATGGTATTGCTGCCTGCTGCGCTGTCAGCCCAACCACCACCCCAGCATCCACCTGTAGGCTCCGGCTAGGGGTGTAAGGTATTTGCTGATCACTCCCTAATAGTTCAATGTAAACATATCTGCGAGGAATGATGAGGTCGGAGCCTAGCAGTCAGGCACAGAAACAGCATAGAAAATCTGGTTGAGTTTCAAAATAAAATACTGCATGCTGTGTGTGTTTTGTATGGCACCACAGATCCGTTTTTTACAATGACAGCACCAACAAGGACAAGGCCTGGAATTTAATTGCAAAAGTTTTGGGAGGGGAAGGTGAGGCGGTTATAACCTATTAATCAGCAAAAGAACAAAATACACAAGTCAACAATGTCAGGAAGGCAAGATGCTCTGAAGGCGCGGTGGGATTTAAAGACTTGGAGCCAAACCGCGTCACAAGCATAATGTCATAAGGCCATGTCCCGTGGAATTATGGCGTAACAGCCTGGCAGAATAGCCACATGCAGTATGTTGTTTCAACCGTATGCCATTTACTTCTTCTTTCAACAGCACCAGATCCAGTCAGCTTAAAATAAAATGCATAAAGCTACGGTAGGTAACCTTTACAAAAATAACTTTGTCATATTTGCTGAAACTTTCACTATATCCTGACAGCAGTACATTAGACAGATAATCTGTGAAAAAATCTGGTTCCTCCAGGTCCTCCTAGTGCTCCTATGGTAACAAAAAGAACCAATCAGATATAAAGACTTGAAACTTTAGTCAATGGTTAGACTCAACCATTAACTATCTTCATGTTTTCAACCTAAAGCATCTTTATATCTTTCTTGCCACAGTGAAAATGTCAGCAAATACAGAAAAACATTATTTTTATAAAAATTACCTACTGCAGCTTTAAATATCTTTAAGGATATTTTCTATACACAGGCATTTTGCAGCTTACAAAAATCCATAAATTTTAAATACAACTGCCTTCTTCAGTCTAAAATGTACATAATTAAACAAAATGAAATGAAAATGAATGGAAAAAAAGGAAGCTGCCACCAATCTTTGGACCTCTTGTGATAAGGCCCATCTCTTTCCTCTCTGAGCTCTGCTGTGCTGCAGAGTTACTCCTCAGACTTGCTCTGAGATTCTGGGACTATAAATACTCCTACCTCCAGCCTCCTCCACTTACTTTCAGCCATCAGAAGGACTACTTCTAGAAGAGTGTGTGTCAGACATTGCTGTTTTACGACAATGAGAGCCGCAAAGTGGAAATAATGATGACATTGTAGTAGTGCCAGCCTTTTATTTATTGCTTATGGGCAAATAAGGCAAAGAATAACCACATTAAGTGTTATTTTTGATCTATTCGAGTGTAATTTGAAACATTATTCTGTAATTTCTGTGCATTTGTTTAGTTTGCTCTTGAAGACAAAAGGGACAACCAGAAAGAGATGTGGTTTTGAGACATCTATTCTCAGCGCAAGGTCTAAGATGCCAAAAATACCAACTTGCTTTGTGCTGATTATATATATAATGGACAGAGCTTCTGGATCTGTGAAGTGAAGCCAATGCACAAGTGTCTTAAACCTGCATTCTATGTAATGGATCAGATCAAACTGTCAAATTAGGCAGTACTGATCAAATATGAATCAAGATTCTGTTACTGCGTTGACTATTTCTCACCTAAAATTGTTTCAGAAACAAACATTTTTAGTTTTATATTTATCTGGAATATAAGATTGTGTATGACCAAGCGAGCCACCATTGTTTCCATAGAGACGAAACTGTGCAGCCAATGAAAGCAGCTCAATTTGCGTCACCTCCGCTGGGTCCAACAAACTGTCATGGTTATGACCATAATGCCAAACTCGAGGCTTCAAAATGGTACTCCACAAACCAGTGGGTGACGTCACTACAGGTTCACATTTGGTGCTGATTCATCTATTCATCAGAAGAAACCTCCCACCTGTGCAATGTGCCTGAAATAGGCTGATACTTACTGGTACTGAGTACTAGTACTTTTTTTTGTCCACTCGTACCCTTTCTTCTTATTGGGTACAAGCTGGTGAGCATGGTATACAATAAAGGTTGTGAAGTAATTGCCTAAAAGTAACTTTCCTTTTGATTGAGCCCCCAAACACCCCCTCCCAAGTTCAGTTTTGCATGCTTGATATTTCTAAAACCCTATGTACAGCAGTGCCTGTTGTTGAAGCTGCAATAGGTAATATTTATTAAAAGAAAATTCTGAAACTTCGGATCAGATGCGAGAAAGACGGGTTACTGTTGATGTCTCATTCCCAGAGCATCAAATGCAGATACTTTGGGACCCTGGGAATGAGACTCAACAATCAATTATCTTCAAGCTTCCAGTCAAAGCGTGTTTCTATATTTCTCGGCTCTGATTGGTTGTTTTTGTTCAGGCCCGGTGGATTCTTGCAAATACCAATAGGAGCACTAGGAGGAGCTAGAGGTACGGTGGCCGAAAGGGAAAGGCAAAGCAAAACGCTGGCCGACACGGGAATGATGCAAAACCAAAAACACACAAACACATAAAAACAAATCAACAAAAAGCTCCAGAAACGGAGCGGAAGCACAAACTTACAAACCCACCAAACAACTGCCAACGAAAAATGCTGCAAATGCCAAAACACACAAAACCCCAAAACAACTCCAAGAGATAAACGCTGCAAATTCACTCGACAAAACGGAAGTGCACCCGGCCACTAGAGGGACCTGACCTGAGGGATGGACCAGTCCTGTGGGACCAGACCCGAAAGACATAAAGCTTGGCCGTAATCTTTTACAATATATAATATTATTATAATATTATATATTATAATAATATTATATATTATAAAAATATTATATTATATAATAATATTATTATAATATTATATTATAGAAGAATATTTTTCTATAATTGAAGAATTATTATAATATTCTTCTATAATATTCTAAGAATATATAATATATATATATATATATATATATAATAAGAATATTCTTCTATAATAGAAGAATTATTATAATATTCTTCTATAATAATATTATTTGTTTGTGGCGCGTTTGCCCTTGTCGGCCACCGTACAGAGGATCCTGATTTTTTCACAGATTATCTGTCTCATGTACTTCTTTCAGAACACTGTGAAAATGTCAGCAATAATGACAAAATGGATAAAAAAGAATATTAAAGAAAAAAAGATTAGGACTAGTGTTAGGGTTGAGCTGAGATTTTCCAGTTCACTGATGCAGGACAGTAGGAGGTGCTAATTCTTCAGTCAGGTACCATTAAAGCCATTGTAGAAGAAGAAGAAGCAATGAGATGATATAATTAAAAAGAGCACCAGACAAACCTCACATGGTGGAAAAAGAAATGTAGAAAACATGATGGAATAATGTTTGTTTCATGTGTTAATGTGAGGAAGGTTACTGTCTCCTCTCCAGTGGAGCAGAAGCGTCTGTGGAAGTCACACAGATGGATGGAAATGCACCTAATGAGAGAGAGATAGAGACTTTTACTGTAACATTTCAAATGGATAACTTACTTACTAAATGTAACTAAACTCCACCTCCTTCTACTGGTTGGAATAAGGCTATTGCAAATTTTTTCTTCCCACTACTGACTGATGTGCATGCAGTTGACATATATGGTGGTAGCTTTTTGTGGTTTAGTTCCACTTTAATGAAGTATTATCCCATTGCATGTATTTGACTTCACTAAGAAACAGGACTATAACTCGACAGCCTACCAATAAATAAAAAGAGAAAAAAATGTCAACACTTTTTGGGCCTGTTTTTCTTAAAAAACGTTTTAGAAAAAAATGTCGAATTTACAGAAACTTTTAATATATCATGACAGTAGAACATGAGACTGACAATCTGTGAAAAAATCCGGTTCCCCTGGCTCCTCCTGGTGCTCCTGATGGCATTTGCAAGAATCCACAGAGACAAGAAAAATTTCCCATTCCCAGGGTGTCAAATACAGACTCAACAATCAACTTTCTTCAAGCTTCCACCCCAAAGCGTCTTTATATCCTTGTCTGAATCCTTCTATAGCTGACTTCAACCAGTCAGACCAACAAACAAGGAAGTCAGTCAGTAGAACAGCAAAAACATATTTTCGATTGAGAAAAGCTTTCAGTGATTGGTCTTGCACAGCAAGTCCATATTTCATATGCGTTTTTTTCTTTATCCGTCATCTGATAAAAATCGTTAAGCATAGAGACCTTGCACACTGAGTCAGATGTGTTTTATTGTACTATTTGTTGCAAAATATGAACTTAATAAGAGACAGAGTCATAAAGCAATGGGGATGATTTTGTGGTCCTTTCATGTAGAAAAAGAAAATATTCGGTACAAGGTGTCAAGAGGGTAAATGGTAAATAGTAAATGGACTGTACTTATATAGCGCCTTTTTTAGTCTTTTGACCACTCAATGCGCTGTACACTACATGCCACACTCACCCCATACACACACAGTCATACACTCATGGCAGTGGCTGCCATGCAAGGTGCCAACTGCTCACCAGAACAGAAACTAATCATTCATACACACTCATACAGCGATGCACTGCATCGGGAGCAACAAAAAGGGTCCAGGGAGGATCCAGGCTGTCATATACAAAGTCTTTGGCAACCCAACTATCAAATATCATTCAGAGCACTAGGATGAGCCTGATTTTTTTCACAGATTGTCGGTCTTATATACTGCTATCAGGATATAATGAAGCTTCAACAAATATATTAAAAATATTTTTATAAAAATGACCTACTGCAGCTTTAATGAACACAAAGGAACAACATGGGAAACAGAATAGACAGCTCCTCTGTGACCCCTGTCATCTCATATCGGCAACCTGAGAGTAATCTCTGACAGAAATATTTATTCAAACATCATACACTGAAAACATAATAAAATATGTGCTTTTTTCCCATCTGAAAGTACTATCGGTTTTCACCTGTCCCTCTTCATCTCAGCTGCTGAAACTCTGATCACTCCTTGTCACATCCAGGAATGACCTCTGCCGTCGTCTTTAATAAACTTCAGAAATTTGCTACTTGACTCTTAGAACTTACTCCTGTACCCAAGACCACTACTGTCCTAAAAACCTCATGTGGCCTTCTGTCCCACAAGGGATTCAGTTCAAAGTCTTTCTCATGGCATACGGACGTCTCCATAACCAGGCCCCCTCCTACAGCCCCATCCCCTACCTGACAATTTCCAACGACACACTCTCTTTTAAAGGCTCTGCTTCCAGAACCAGGCCAGGGCTGACTGGGCCTTCTTTTGTCCCATATTTCTGGAATTCTCTCCCAAGATTTTTTCTTTCCATATTGCAAACGTCAATAGTCACCTTATTGAAAGTAGTTTTATTCCCAGCCTCTCATTATGAATGTAACATTCTACTAAATTAATTGTTCTAATTGTGGTATATTTTACTGTATAATGTGTGTATTTATGTATAATAAATTGTTGTTAATGCACACAGTTTTGTACTATATGTGTGCATTAGCCATTTGCGTGTGAGGTGTTCCACTTTAAGGACAGCTGCGAGCGGCTGTAAGGATGGAAATGGTCCAGTAACCCAGATTGATTCCTAAAGGGCAGCAGAGCACCCTGGGTAATTTAAGTTTAGCCTTTCTGACCGACATATTACCGACAATGCCACACATATTGTGCTGACACCAAACCAGGAAAAAATGCCAACACATATGCGACGAAGGAAATAAGAGAAATATGACAAATAAGGATGTATGAGAAATGGCTGTGGTTTTCATTAAAGCTGCAGTAGGTAACTTTTATAAAAAATAATCATTATTGCTGAAATTTTCACTGTGTTCTGACAGTAGTACATGAGACAGATAATCTGTGAAAAAATCAGGTTCCCCTGGCTCCTCCTAGTGCTCCTAATGGTATTTGCAAGAATCCACCAGGCCTGAACGAAAACATCATCAATCAGAGCTGAGAAAGATAGAAGGATGTTTTGGCTTGGAAGCTTGAAGATAGTTGATTTTTGAGTCTCATTCCCAGGATTCCAAAGCGTCTGTATTTGATGCCCTGTGACTCAACAATCAATCTTTCTCACGAGGAAGAGCCTGATTGTTTCACAGATTATCTGTCTAATGTACTACTGTAGGGATAAAGTGAAAGTGTCAGCAAATATGACAAAAAAAATGACCTACTGCAGCTTTAATTAGCATCCAAGCAGGTATGAGACTGTTCTCGAGCCAGTGATGGGATGTCAGGTCTTTAGGTCTGAATACATTTTTATTAATGCAATAGGACTCCAGGAGAAATTAAAAAGAGATGGAATGTGAGAGAGAGAGAGAGAGAGAGAGAGAGAGAGAGAGAGAGAGAGAGAGAGAGAGAGCAATAGAGAAGGATCAGGTCTGCCAGAAGCTCCAGAGTGCAGGTGGAGGGCGTAGATGGTACACAGCTGATGGCTCACAAGAACGGCATATTGCGTGACCTTAGTGAATCCAGCAGATTACATAATCAACCGGCATTAACATCCCCCCTCCCACCCCTCTTTTTGGTGTGTGACCCTCTCGTGTGTATGTGCACTTTACAAATGCAAATGCCTCACATCTGCGGCTGTACAGCTGGTGCAAATGCCTCAGTATATCAAGCCCTTAGTGCTTTTTATATATATTTATTTATACACATTTTTGAGGCCTACAACATTCTCAAAGAAAGCAGTAATATTACACCCACTGCCATTTCTATGGCAACAGTTGCTATAGTCAAATATCCAGTGAGCAAGCACACTGTGTACAAGCAAACATACATACACACCACCAACAACACTATCAGACAGATACAGTACATATCCTGTAGATTAAGAGAGGTGTGCAACAAATGCAGCTATACCAGGGCCTGAGAGGCCTAGGCTCCTGTCGTGAAGAGGAAATGTTTTATGGCTGAGAGTGCAAAAACAGGCAGTGACTCAGTGATATAGAAAGAGGAGGAAAAAAACAAAGACAGGAAAAAAAAATTAAGATAGTACGACTTTGTAGTAATGTCTACTTTTCTACAGAACTAATTATAGTCCGGAAGTTAACCTTCTCCTCTTAAGTCACACCATTCCACACACAAGTGGTTGTTTAGCCTGTCGTTTAAAAACTGGCTGGCAGGACCTGAAGTCAGTCAGATGCCATGGCCTGATGTCACTGTCTTCGATGTTACTCTTAATGATGAACATAGTGGCAACTCACCCGCAGGTTAATCTCCCTTATCCTCTCCTGTCGCAGCTTCGACAGATTGGCAACTCTGGACATTGTGGCAGCTGTATTATTCTCACAATGACAGATTCAAACGGTGGCCAGCGAGTCAGAAGATATAATATCCAGTATCAACGTTTGTGTGCTTCGCTGTGGGTCCCTCAGATCCCTGTCGAAGAGGAAAAAACTAAGTCTTTCCTCACTGGCCAACTGCAATGTGCTTCTGCTTCTAGTGAAGTGGCTGTTCCTGTGAGAAATCTGACTTCTGAATCATCACCGCCCCCTCACACACACACACACACACACACACACACACACACACACACACACACACACACACACACACACACACACACACACACACACACACACACGTACATGCACACAGTGTTCAGCTGTCTGTGAATGCTTGGTATAGACTATTATTTGCTCTTTGCTACAGCCTAGTATCAAACCATTTACAAGATGCTAGAATATTAATGTAGCTATTCACATAGAGAAAAGAGAAAAAGTTACAGGCTTGTATCACCTTATCAAATCATTCATAGCACACATATTATGTTTGAGAGCAGGATGTGATGACCTGATAGAAATTGCAACTGTATCTGCAATTATCCAGCTCCTATATTTAGTAGGTGAGCAGCTTTTTTATAAAAAATGTGGTCCCTGTTGTACAGTCATTACTATTCAGGGTGTCATTGTAATATAACTCTATAATGCAGTTGGTTCAAGGGCATAACCACTGTATAGACATTGTAGGGGTCCAAATGAGAGCCCTCGAACAGAATTAAGGGCATTTCCCACATTTCTATATATTTATGAAAATGTTCACATTAAGAACATAGTTTTGAGGACTATATTATAAATACCATTAGGAGCACTAGGAGGAGCCAGAGGAACCTGATACTTTCACAGATTATGTGTCTCGTGTACTACAGTCAGGATATAGTGAAAGTTTCAGCAACTATGACAAAAGATATTTTTATAAAAATTTGTAACTACAGCTTTAAAGGTCCAGTGTGTAACATTTAGGAGGATCTATTGTCAAAAATGGAATATAATATTAGTATGTATAATCACATAATATAGGAATCGTTATGTTTTCGATACCTCAGAATGAGCTATTTCTATCTTCAGACACCTGTGGTCGCCCTCCTTGGAGTCCTAGGGTAGCCCAGAAGGGACAAACAAAACACTGGTTGTAGATCTCACATTTCTTGTGAGTTTTGTGGCCACAGTAGTTTCTCCCACACACTTCACAGCCCGTTCTCATTACCAGGTATCGGCTTTAGCATGTTTTTTTTTCATTTACAAGAAGCCTACTATTCTACAGTAGAAAGACAGGAAGAAAAATCATAAAACATGTAAACAATTTAACCTGATAACTTTCTGGCTGAGTTCTCTCAGCGCAAAATCTGGAAAAGGTTCCAGCTTCAGCTTCTGAGCTGAACTGGACCTATGCAGAGTTTGTTTTTCAAATTCTCCAAGATTTGAACATTACTGGACACCCAAAGGGTAGGAAAAGAAGAAATACCAAAATGAAACAAGTCCATGAAAAAATTGACAAATCCGGGATAGACTGTCAAACAAATGATGCCAAATTTAACAAAATATGACAAAACTATTAGAAATCATGGTTGAAAGGTAACTGTTGAGGAAGACGAATACACGACATATTCATCACTTTTGATAATTAATCACCGTTCTGATTAAATGTGTCTGTGCATATAAACACCTGACCGTACTAGGTTTGGAAAGAAGACTTTTACTCTTTAGTCAGATTGTTCAGGAAGTTCCAGAGGGGCTAGTTCTGCATTATCAGAAAGCTACTTCATGGTCTAAATATATATTGCCATTGGTTCCAACTCAGCTACTGAGATTAGACACCTTAACTATATGTATGTGTGTGTGTGTGTGTGTGTGTGTGTGGATCTCCCTGGTGAGGAAGGAGGAAGACCGCACCAGTGTAGCAGGAAATGTTTCGACACAGTGCCATGCAGTCGTATTCTTGGCACACACCGAAAAATAGACATAACATGCATGATAGCTTTGTACATTTGTCTTTGCATATATTTATTTTTAGACATGCTAGCGACGTGATAATAAATATAACAGCGTTGGTATATAGGTACAGCATGTAGAAATTTATGGGCCCCTGAGCTCCACCAGCATGTTGCATTAGAACGGATTTACTGGACATTTTGTACAGACACTCATTGTTCCCAGATGATGAATCCTGCTGACTGGTGATCCTTTGTCCTTTCCTCTAGCACCATCATCAGGTCAAATTATCATTCTAACAATTGACATCACCATCACTGCAAAAAAAGAATCTCAAGAATGTAAAAAAGACTTTGTCTTAAAAAGATATTACAGCTCATATTGTGCTCGATTTAACCAGTAACAAGTTACAACAAAGGTTTGCATAATAGTCCAGCAGAGGATTCAAGGATTCAAGTATATTTTATTGTTATTCAGCAAGGTTGTAGGAGCATCTACCATCTGGATGTTGGACTATATGTAAATGTTATTCTATAACCTTGCATTGTAAATAATACAATTTCGTTGAAACATTGAAACCTTGGGGCATCTGAAGAAGTTTCTTTCCAACATGAAGTTACAGGGGGATACACATCATTCTTTCTGGCTGAATTTTCAACCTGTCACAGGTCGTATCCCCTCCTATAATGCACTGGTGATGTCCTAGCAGTGGTTTTCAGACTGTGGGGCGGGGTCCCCTGATGGGGCATATAGCCACTGCAGAGGGGGCTTGCATTGACCAGGGAAAAATAATGAATATGATTGTAGGAAAATAAACAAACATGCTGATGCTGTTGTTTTGACCTTTATATCACTAAAATTTTCAGTTTCAGTATTAGTCAAAAACTTATCATTGTTAACATGTGGTGGTACCACTGCAAAAAAATGTCACACTAAATGTGGAAAAAGTGTAAAAGCCTTCAGTAAGAAGCTGCACATTTTCATCCAATCAGATCTTGTTGTTATGAGCTCAGTGAAGAAGAAAGCTCCACTGATCTACAGGTGTCTAACTGTGGTTGACTGTTTAATCATCACTTCATTATCAGTTAGGACTCTTTCACTTGCATCTGAGTGTCGGCTTTTTCTTTGAGGCCTTTGTGTCTGGCAGGGCTGGTAGTGCGCTCGGTCCTTACTCCTTATAACATTATTTACAGAGACCCAACAGTACCACCATGAGCAAGCACTTGGTGACGGGGGCAAAGAAAAACTGTCTGTTAAAGGCAGAAACCTAGGACAGGGTAGTCGTCTGCCTCTGGTGAGAGGGGGGGGTGGTAACACAGAGAGAGAGAGTGAGACAGACAGACAGACAGACAGGTGCACAGCAACAACAGTAGCAACAACTACACTAATAGTAGTGACTGATGATGATGAACATGAAGAAGATGATGACGACGATAACAGCAACGATGGGGGACAATGAGCAGTGATTATAGTAATAATAGTAACTGTAATAATAATAATAGTAATAATAATGATGATAACACTAATATCAGTAATATTAGCAATGGCAGTCAAGCAGGACCATGGCAGGAGGCTCCACCAGGATCCATGAGAACCTGCGAGACGAGAAAGCACAAGAACTCCGGGAAAGAAGTGAAGTTAGTAACATGCATTAATGGGACATCAGTCCCATTAATGCAATGAGTCAGTCAGTATGATCCCTAAAAGAAACAATCCCTAAAAACAATCCCTGTGAATTCTACACGACCTTACAATTTTGTCCATACATCCATGAGTTTCACCAACCATGGCAGTTCCCTATGCAAAATGTTGATCCATATGTCACCATCTACTAGCAATTTTATTCTCACCTTACCGGAACCTTTCATCTTTAAGGAATTCTTCAAAGAAAGAACAATTTTCAAAAATGCCCAAAACATTTCAACATGCAGCACAAAGTTTCAGAAAAGCTTCTGAGGGACTGGGCTCTCTTTTTTTTTAAATCAGGTTCCTCTGGCTCCTCCTAGTGCTCCTAATGGTGTTTGCAAGAATTCACCGGGCCTGAACAAAAACAACCAATCAGAGCTGAGAAAGATATAAAGACAATTTGGGTTGGAAGCTGATAGTTGATAGTTGATTGTTGAGTCTTATTCTCAAAGCGTCTGTATTTGGCGTCCTAGGAATGAGAGTCAACAATTAACTATCTTGGTTGTTTTCGTTCTGGCCCAGTGGATTCTTCCAAATACCATTAGGAGCACTACAAGGAGCCATATCTTTTCACAGATGATCCGTCTCATATACTACTGTCAGGACATAGTTAAAGTTTTAGGAAAGTTGTAAAAATTACCTACTGCAGTTAATAAGAAATCTCTTCTCCAGTACTACCTGTGCCGTGACAGTTATATCAGTATAAACACAGGAGATGTATTTAGGCCTGGTTTTCAGAGGGGACCCCTCTTCCTAATCCAGGGCTGATTACATCCTTACCACTGCTCCTTTGTGTTGACAGGAGCCAGTCGAGGTGTTTGACTGAAATACCTCAACTGGCTCCAACATGTGTCATGTTGGCCTGAGGTTCAGTGTGCTCTACCACCTGAGCTTCTGCCATTCACATCATAAAGGTAAGTACAAGACTGTGACTTGGACAGAAGACGACCTGCAGCAGTCCTTTATATAAAGACACAGGACGTCATGTTTTATAGCTTACACTTATTCAAATTATTCAAAAAGTTAAAGATAACTTATTCTTTTGTTTTTTGATATCTTCCTTATTTACTGAGGTGAAGGTGACTTTAGGAGGCACAGGTATGGAACTCATTCAGATTTTCTAGCAAAAGAGTCTGTAGATCTTATTATAAGTCATTTGCTCACTCTGCTGTATATTTTTCCTCAGTTGCAGATGGCTGTAACTGGCAGAGGTATGCTCATAATGAGTAACAACATGAACTAAAATCTTCAATCTGAATATGTCTTCAGTAATTCACAGATGATTTATCTCTCTTATTCTGTGGTTGTTTTCACACAGGTCGAGGTTGCTGCAGCAGGTAAAGGTGCGTTCATGACAACAGGAACACGCCTGTAAGTCTTATTATCACTTTTAACACTCTGATGTGTTTTCCCTCAGCTGCTCCCAAACACCGTCCAGAGGTGATAAGGGGAGCTGAGTGTCCTCCTGCCAGTACACAGCCGCTCCACCACCAGGACCCTGCAGCCCCTCCCTGTGCTCACACATGGTAACTGTAGGGGATCTTGGAGCAGCACTGGGCCCCACAGGTGCAGCATGGAAGCTTCGCTGGAGAGAGAAAAGACAAGGAGGAACACGTTACAGCAATGGACCCAGGGTTTCCATGACAACAAAGAGGAAACCCTCCCCCCTGCCCAGATCAGAAGGCTGATTGATGATAAGGGAGATGGAGAGCATGGTGTTTCAGTCTACAAAGTAAGCAAGACTACAAAAGTAGCTATACTGGCATAAAGTTGTAAGAGCTAACGATAACATAACATGTATGTTGATGATAAGATTATATCAAATATTGAATCTGTTTTTTTCATCAGACCAATTAGATCTCTGAGCCGAGAGGCAAAGACTTTTTTTTACTGTTCTTCCTTGGTTAGTGGGCAGTGCACGAGACAAGCGCATAAATGCTGACGATTGGCTGAGGTTGAGTAAAATTTCATGGTAAGCCAATCAGAGGTAGAGTTGGGCGGGTGTTCGAAAGCACGCATAGTCCGACACACAACGAACAACACAAGCGTGTCAGTCAACGAGAGACAGGTATGGCGAGTTGTGTTGCATCTTATTACATTTGCACTAAAAAGAGTGTATATATTGTTTGAATACATTTTTGGTACATTGCTTAAAGAGCATCATTTAATTTAGATTTATTTGTTGGCTGGCTGCAGCCTCTTGAAGTGAGATTGTCAATGGCCAGAGAAAGAGATTTATTTTTATGGAGATGTATTTTTTATTTCTTATGTATTACCTGTTTATATTTGGATTCCTTAGTTTTGCTATACATTGTACTTTTCAGTTAGATTGAAAGGACCTCATATTGTTACACTGTTCCACTTTTTCAAGTAGTACAGTATATCTACAATTGTAGACAATTGTCTGAAGTTTTTTTTGTTTTATTTGCACTACAAAGAGTGTATATATTTGTTATTTATTTTTGGTATAGTGCTTAACAAGCATAATTTAATTTTGCCCAGTTGTGGCCTGTTGAGGGACAATAAATATCAAAAGTTCCAAAACATCTATTGTGTTATTTGTATGGATCCACTATATAAACATAATATCTACATACACGGTATTTGATTGGAGGCTAGTCTCACTTTGTTCCACAGCAACATTAAAATAGTTTAGACTTGTGTACATTGTTTCTGTTAATAATGGATTGTATTAAGTGTCCATTTCATTATAATATTCAGATTTATCATAAATAATTGAACATGCACATGTATTTTAAGTTCCGTTAAAGAGGGGTGGAGGTGGGGTCACATTTGAGCATTTAAAAATGTACTTGAAAGTAACGCAATAGTTACTTTCTGAAGTAACTAGTTACTTATATAATTTGTAACTGAGTAACTGATTTAGTTACTTTTTGGAAGAAGTAACTAGTAACTGTAACTAATTACTTTTTTAAAGTAACTTGCCCAACACTGCAAATCAGGACACTCAAGAAGGACTGAATGAGGAACTAAATGAACTGTGAAAAGTTCAGAGCAGCATTGAAACATTTTAACTACATTAGAAGTTTCCAGTTCATTAGCAAGTTTTTTTCCTGAGAAAGATATAAAGTTGCAAGAAAAACTCGATTGACATGTTTAATGCCGAGGTCTGTGACAGCAGACTCATCAAATACATTTAGTTTTTCTGATTTTCACTTTTTACTGTATGATTTTAAATATTTTGGTAAATATGTATATTATTATATGATCACATTATATACAATATGTTATACAGTGATTTAAAGATAATGCTGTTCATATTAACTGTGTCCATATCATCCATCTATCAATGAATGGTTATTATTTTCACTACAGTAGTTCCCATGTACTTTGGGGCTGTGCAATACAGAATACACACAATATTTGTCCTTTTTTTAAACTTTGAGCTTGAATTCAATGCAATGGACTATAGTTACATAATCCAGTGTTCTGTGAGAAACTTCTGAATGGATTCAGCATCCTCAATAACTCCAAAACCACAATATTGTCCAAAATCAGTTGCTGAAACATTGTCTGTATAGGTGATGATGTTAATTGCCCAACATGCAACATCTGGCAGTTCCTATATGCTGGGGACCCAAACTGCACATTTCTTTTTGTTTTTTTAGGCTTTTTTTTATTGCCTTTATGACAGTGACAGCTGAAGACAAACAGGAAAGGGGGACAGAGAGAGGGGATGACACGCAGCAAAGGGCCACAGGTCGGATTCAAACTCTGGGCCGCTGCAGCAAGGACTCTGGTACAGAGTGAACAGGTACATGGGACACCATTTGAGAAGCACATAGGGGCTTTAAGGAACGATCGGCCTCATCAACAATCATGATGTGATAACTCTCTGTTGGCCTTCTGTGACTTTTTAATGTGGGGGGACCTTTGTCTGTTGCCTATGATGGAAATCCTGTTCCCTGATTTCTTTAGAAGTTGCATACTAGACCAGGAGGAGCAACTTGGAGCAACTTGGAGAAACTAGAAGAACCAGATTTTTTCACAGATTATCTCTCTCATGTACTACTGTAAAGATTTTATATAAGGATTTTATAAAAATTGCCTACTGCAGCTGTAAAGCTGCACTAATCATTGTTTTTCTATTGACACAGGATCAAATGATGAGTGTGTAATGTGAAAGAGGTGGCTCAGTGACAAATAATCCACTGACTCTGCAGTTCACAGGAGCATCTGTCAGCTCATTGTTTTGCTTTCACAGGTCACAACTTTACTGTTTTGTTTAGTCCCACCACTCTCATCAACTTAGTTTCATGCAGCAGCTGTTTTCAACAAAAAAGCTCTTTTAAACCAACACTACAGAACCCGTTATGCACCAAAGGGCAGACAGACATGTTGGCAACTAGCATCTTAACAGCCACATATGTTTTGTCAGGTCAAGGATAGCTTTACTTTCCCCGTAGGACAATTTGTTGTAGAGTTAGCAGTAACTAAATAACCACATCAGACAACAGTAAACAAACAATAAACCCAGTGTCCAAAAATATGGGGTGAAATGAATGCTAATGTTGTGTTCACCATAACAACTTTATAGTGATAATATGTCAATTTTACAACTTATTACACTCCCCCAAGGTGTCCCAAAAATCAGTAATTGCTGCTTCTAATAAGTAATGTTCAAATCATTTTTTTTCAACTTTAAATTTATTGTCCCTGAGGGGATATTTGTTGTCTTTAATTCAATTCAATTTTGTTTCTTTTTTATAGCACAGAAGTTATCTCAGGACACTTCTCAAATAGAGCAATAGAGCAGGTCTAGACTGTACTCCTTTATAGAAACCCAACAGTCCCCTTTTCATCAGGGCAAATACAACATGGTTGCCTTTGAACTGTTTCTTATATCTGTTGGCAAGTTGTCACATGATTAGTGTAGACAAGTGAAATAACATGACAGATCCTGCTTGACTGCCATTACTAATATCACTGATATTATTGTTATTATTATTATTAATATTATTATTACTAAGATAGATAGATAGATAGATAGATAGATAGATAGATATACTTTATTGATCCCAAGCTGGGAAATTGCAGTGTAGCAGCAGCATTACACACAGTAACAACACAATAAGTAAAGAGAACAACCTAGACATATCAAAAAAGCTATATAAAATGCAATATAAAAAATGTATAAATAAGCGGTCTAATTGTAGTGCAAAGTAAAAATATAAGGTGCAGTGAACAGATAAAACATATAAGGTGCTTGGAGACTGTATTGTTATGACCAGAGTTTTAGCTGTTATTGTACAGTGTGATGATGGCATGTGGCAGGAAAGATTTCCTGTATCTGTCCCTTCGACAGGGGAGCTGGAGCAGCCTGTGTAAACCAACAAATAAACAACATTAAAAAAACACGACGGGAGCTGTGGCTACAAGCTGCCGCCTGAGGCAGCGCCAAGAAGCTACTACAGTTACTAATATTACTATAATCACTGCTCATTGTCCCCCATTGTTGTTGTCGTCGTCGTCATCATCTTCATGTTCATCATCATCAGTCACTACTATTAGCGTAGTTGTTGCTACTGTTGTTGCTGTGCACCTGTCTGACTGTCTCTCTCTCTCTCACCCCAACTGGTCGAGGCAGAGGACCACCCACCTAGAGCCGAAGGGTCTGTCCTAGGTTAAAACCTGTTAAAGCTGCAGTAGGTAACTTTTTATAAAAATAACATGTCTTTATTGCTGAAACTTTCACTATATCCTGACAGTAGTACACAAGACAGATAATCTGTGAAACAATCAGGTTCCTCTGGCTCCTCCTAGTGCTCCTAATGGTGAGAAAGATAGCTGATAGTTGTCAAACACAAATGCCAATCCAAAACATAAATACTCCACGACCTGGAGCAATCAACTATCTTTCTCAGCTCGGATTGGTTGTTTTCATTCAGGCCCAGTGGATTCTTGCAAATGCCATTAGGAGCTCTAGGAGGAGTGGAATTTGTAGAAAATAAAAATAATATAGCTGTTAAGTCTCTCAAAGATGCCACAAGGCACTTCCACATCTCAGTGGAACATGGTTAGGTAACTGCCTTTGCAACAATGTCTACATCAAACTACTACAGATATATATCTATATTCTGTAGGTGATGCAACAGTACTTAGTGTTGCATCAAGTTGGCAGTTGCGGTAATGAAAAACAATCTGTGGATATTGCCTTCAACATAAAACCGAATCATTTTACCAAATCATTTCAAGCTTTTTAGATGTGCCATACAATGTCTGTCAGTAATACAATACCTCTGTATATTTGAAATTCAATATACATTTAAATATATAATATAATATATACGCTATGCGTAGACATGGGGCTGTGAGAAGTTTTTACATACGACAAACACGTTATGTCTACCCAGTGTTTGTAGTCTGTCGGTTTTTACAACGAACTTTATTTCCAGTTTTAGCAACATTATAACTGCTTCTCCTCGTGAGTACGGGGCTACTACGGCTATGTAGATTTGTTCGCTCTTATTTTGAAGAGAAAGTCACATGCTGTCTCCGCCGGTGACGGGGTGCTGGCTAACGTACAGTAGTATCAGTGCAGCCGAACGACGTTACTGTCTCACTCATCATTTTTACGAAATCCTTTGAAACAAGGTAAGTGGCTAAACTGGGACTACATGTCTGTGTTGTCCAAACAGTGACTTTCAGTTGAATGGAGTTTTTAAACGAATTCTGCCTCACAAACTCCTTAATTTAATAGGGTATCACTGAAAGGTATAACGTTATGTGCACATAGAGCTTGACTATTAACCAATTTCGACTAAGGAGGCTGTTTCTGAAAATTCGGAGTAGCCTATATGTGAGCCACCAAGTAACGTTAGCATCTTAGCTCCGAGGAATCCTAGCTGGATGTTTGACTGCACCTGCACGTTGTCTCCGCCTGCCCCGGCGGTGAACACCAAGAGCTGTGAGAGGCTCATGGGAATAAAGGATGAGCCAGCGTTGCATTATATAGAAATAAATGCCTATTGGTTCTCACCGAATTGAACAATACCACGTAATATTTCACGAAAGCCCCGTAACCATGTTGTTAGGTGTTTAAGTTTTTGCCCATAGCTAATCAAAATTTGAATGGGTAGGATTTTAAATGGAGTTTGGCGTAGGCTGCCTTTGTCACAACAGAGCGGAACATATGGTAACGTTCGCTGAATGAAAAGTGTGCACCTGAATAGCTGTGGCTGCATGTGAGAATGTTTAATATTATTAAAACTAATAAAGTGTTCAGAGTTGTTGCTGAGCAGGCATGCATTGTGTGTACAATGAATGAATATTTATAGCGAAGTAAGGAGTAAGTTAAACAAAACTTTGCAGTCACAGTTATATTCGCCATTTGCCTCACACGATGCTTTTAGTTCAGCACATGGATTGGCACTAATTCAGAAATGTAGCCTAACTTGCAATTTTTGAGATGTTTGACTTCAAATGTATTGGCCGTGCAGCGTTCAGGGACATTGGGGAAATCTCATAGATCGGGTGTCAGTTGCCCCTTCAAGTTCTTCACATGTTCTTATTTAATAGTCAGGGAACCCTGTAAGTATGTAATAACACACACTACCAGTCCTTTCTCTTCCTCGTACACATGAATCCTTCGCCACATTGTAGCCAGAAGGGACAGAATGTCTCTGTTGAGTAGAAGAGGGTTTTTTCTATGCACATTGTGTAATTGAACCTGTGTAATTCACCAGTTGTAGAACAGGTAAAACAGCCACACTGTTGAACACATTAACTCCTCATGTGGCTGTAATACTCTCAATAGCTCTAAATCTCAAATTCTTGTTACTGGACAGTTATTTTACTCTATTAGTATTATATATATATATATATACTATATAATATTTCATTGTATGGTTATTAACTGCATACTAATCAATCTCTGTTTTCTACCCATCTTCTTCAGCTGTGAAATGTGTGGTATCTGGGCTTTGTTTGGCAGTGATGAGTGCCTGTCAGTTCAGTGCACCAGTGCCATGAAGATCGCTCACAGGGGCCCAGATGCCTTCCGCTTTGAGAACGTGAATGGCTTCACCAACTGCTGTTTTGGCTTCCACCGGTTGGCTATTGTGGACCAGCTGTATGGAATGCAGCCCTTGCGCATCAAAAAGTTCCCTTTCCTTTGGCTCTGCTACAATGGAGAGATTTACAACCATCACACAGTAAGGATAAGCTAGCTGCTTCTCTGAAGGCACTGGTGCCTGAGGTCTTTTGAGAAACTTGGTTCTGAATATCTTTACATGCACAGTGACGAAACTGATATTATAAAGCCAGACTTTTTTGATGTATTGGCTAGTGCCCGACCGATATGATATTTTTGAGATCAATACAGCACCCTGGCCAGAGGAACCTGATTGTTTCACAGATTATCTGTCTCGTGTTCTACTGTCAGGATATAGTGAACGTTTAAACAAATATGACAAAAGTTACCTACTGCAAGCTTTAAGATCACAGATGATAATACAGTCATGGAAAAAATTATTAGACCACCCTGCTGCCAAGGGCGGCTGTGGCTCAGAGGCAGAGCGGGTTGTCCCCTAATCAGAAGGTTGTTGGTTCAATCCCCGGCTCCTCCTGCCACCTTGAGCAAGATACTGAACCCCAAATTGCTCCCGATGCACAGCATCGGTGTGTGAATGTGTATGAATGAGTTAGTTTCTGTTCGATGGTCTTTGGCATTCCTGTGTGAATGTGTGTGAAAGGGTGAATGTGGCACGTAGTGTAAAACCGCTTTGAGTGGTCAGAAGACTAGAAAGGCGCTATACAAGTACAGGTCCATTTACCTTGATTCTTCAGTTTCTTGTTCATTTAATGCCTGGTACAACTAAAGGTACATTTGTTTGGACAAATATAATGATACCAACAAAAATAGCTCATAAGAGTTTAATTTAAGAGCTGATATCTAGCCATGTTCTATGGTTTCCTTGATAATAACCAAAATCACTTAAGTTCTTACATCAATAGCTAGGGCATTGTACTGCCAAAAACAGTTCTGTTAGGCATTCCATGTTTTCTTTTCTATCTGTTTTAGTCACATGATACACACAGGAGTTAGTACTTGATTGCATAACCATTGTTTTTGGTGACTGCAGCCATGCGTCTTGGCATGCTCTCCACCAGCTTCTGACATTGTTCTGCTGTCACAGCAGCCCATTCCTGTTGCAAAAATTCAAACAAATTTGCTTTGTTTTTGGGCTTATGGTTCTCCATTTTGAGTTTGATGATGTTCCACAGGTTTTCAATTGGATTTAGATCTGGTGATTGAGCAGGCCAAGGCATGGTTCGAATGTTCTGGTTCTCCATCCAGGCGCACATGCGACCAAAATTTTTAAGAGTGCGACTAATAATTTTTCTAGGTCGCACTGGTGCACCTGACGTTGCCCGGGTGAAAACATAAATTTATTTCGCATCATCTCTCTGTGTTCTCCTGAGACCGAACTCAAACACTCATGGTAGGATCATATCGTGTTCTAAACCAATAAGAGACAGAGCTTGGGCAGGTCTTTGCCTCTGATTGGCTGTGGTCCTGTTCACCGCGCAAGTTGTGTGTGTTTAAAAATTGCGCGCGACCTGAGCTGAACTGAAACGGAAAAATAAAATAAACGTGACAAAACGAGGGAAAATGAAGAGAGGCAGAAATATTGAAAGTTTTTTCATTAAGAAAACCAAGCCTACAACCAGCCCTACTACTATAATCCCATCCATCCCCACTACTGAGAGTCCATCCCGTCAAGACACAAAGCCCTCTGTCCCTGATGAGATCCCAAGCCCCGGTCCTTCGGCGACAGCATCAGACTCGGAACCGGAGGAGGAGACAACCGAGTCTGGGATAGAGCCCGGTTCTGAAACCCAAATTAAAAAGGCCAAAATATATTCCTTCAGACAGGACTGTCTGAAACAATTCCCCTGGCTGAGGTACAACAAAGGACGTAACGTAATGCACTGCGTGTACTGTGAGGAGTGCGGTCAGAATATGGCCGGAAATAGTGCATTCGTGAGTGGGTCAACAACGTTTCATATTGAAACTTTAAAAAAACATGTCTAAAAAAACACACGATATGTGAAGAAGAGAATCAAATCGGATGCTAGAGCATCGCTTCACACAGCCACAGTGGAAGACCTCATAAGGATCAGTGTGGAGGGGCCCAGTTTGGAGGATTTTGGTGCTAGGGAGAGTGTGGCAAGCTGGTTTAGCCAAGGCCAAAGGGCAAGAAGGCCAAATTACAGGTTTTGGCCATCTGAGGGGCATGTGACAGCAAGGGGAGACCTGCCATAAGATTTTGAGAAATGATGTTAGGTCTCAGTTCAGTGAAGCTCTTTAAAAAGTAGCACTTTTTATTTTGAAATGTTTTATTTTACTTGAAATGTTTGAGTTTGAAATGTTCAATTTCAGTTCAGTGAAGCAATTTAAGCACAAGCACTTTATTTGGAAATGTTTTATTTTGCTTAGTGTTTTAGTTTGAAATGTTCAATTTCAGCTCAGTGAAGCACTTTAAAGACTTTATTTTTCTTTTTATATATAATTGTGCTTAGGCGCACCAGTGCAACCAATTTAAAAAGTTAGTCTGGAGCCCTTTCACTGATCCATCCCCATGTTTTACTGTAGGGGCAAGACAGTCTGGTTTGTAGGCTTGTCCAGGCTTCCTCCTAACCAGTAAGTTGGCTGGAGTGGGCATCAACTCAAAATTGGATTCATCACTGAAGAGAACTTTAAGGCCCGGACACACCAACCCGATTATTGGCCGTCGGACAGTCAGGCGAGGTCGGTGACTTGAGTCGGTTCGGTGTGTCCCATGCCGTCGTCAGTTGGCGTCGGCGTCTGTGTTCATTTTGGCCGATTCAACATGTAGAACGTGTAGACGATCCTTCTTGACTACTATCAACACTCTCTGATGAAAACGATGACTAACGACAGCGTGCTCTGTGTTTACTAGGTCTGGAGTGATCCGTCATTTCCGATTTTCTTTTTTTTTGGGCGACAACACAGATTAGCGCCGCCTGCTGTTATGGGGACGTATTACGCCTCGCGCACGCGCAGAACGTACACTCCAGTCAGCGTCGGTTTTGTGTGTTCGGAGGCACTTTTTTGACTGACTCGGGGAGACAGGAGCCAACTGATCAGTCCGACTGCTTTTCTGCCGACGGTCGGCCGTCGGGTTGGTGTGTCCTGGCCTTTAGCCCAACCATCAACAGTCCAATCCTTGTGATCCCTAGCAATGGTAACCGGGTGTTCCTCTGCCTTTCGTTGATGAAGGGCTTCTTTTCCGTGCCCTGTGTGACTTCAGATCAGCTTCAAGAAGTCTGTTTCGAACTGTCCTTGCTGAACAAGTCACATTTCTCGACAGTGCCCACTCATTTTTAAGGTCCCTGGAGGTCTGACGAAGATTCCTGACACAAGAACGGATGAGTGCACGGTCACCTCGTGGGGTAGAAAGACGTTTCCTGCCTCAACCAGCTAGCAATTTGGTAGTACCATGTTCAGCTTGCTTTTTCTTGGCGTAATGAACGGCTGTCTTGGAGATCTTCAGTTTTTTGGCTACCTGTCTCTCACTCATGCCATTTTCCAGCAGTGCCAAGATGGCTGCCTTTGTGGCTTCACATAATTCTTTTTTTTAGGGCATTATGTGAGAGCTGACAACTTCTGAGTTGTGCTACGGCTTGAATGTAAGCAGGAAACCACTCTAGGCCTTTACATGTGCAGTGCTGCTTATGACATGAAATGGCCTCTTATATACCCTGGGAATACAATTAAGCTTAAGCATGTCAAATAGGACATAAAGTATTATGGAATCAGCTGCATTTTAATATACCGTTAGTGGTACCGGGCATTAAAATGAACAAGAAATTGAAGAAAACAAGGGTGGTCTAATGATTTTTTCCATGACTGTATATAATATACACCGATCAGCCATAACATTGTGAGCACCTGGGCACCCTGGTGGTCATAATGTTCTGCAGTCACATACCAACAGACTGTGATTCACTGTGTTCTGAGTCCTTTCTATCAGAACCAGCATTAACTGTTTCAGCAGTTTAAGGTACAGTAGCTCGTCTGTTGGATCGGACCACACGGGTCAGCCTTCACTCCCCACGTGCATCAATGAGCCTTGGCCCCCCCCATGACCCTTTCTCTGGTTCTTTTCCTTCCTTGGAGCACTTCTGATAGGTACTGACCTCTGCAGACCGGGAACACCCCACAAGAGCTGCAGGTTTGGAGATGCTCTGACCCAGTCGTCTAGCCATCACAATGTGGCCCTTGTCAAAGTCTCTCAGATCCGCACACTGCCCATTTTTCCTGCTTCTAACACATCAACTCTGAGGACAAAATTTTCACTTGCAGCCTAATATATCCCACCCACTGACAGGAGCCATGATAACCAGATAATCAGTGTTATTCACTTCACCTGTCAGGGGTCACTATGTTATGGCTGACCGGTGTTTAAAAAAACAGTTTTAATATCGGCAGATAGGTAGATAATATCGGCCAACTAATATATCAGTTGGGCTCTAGTAGGGATGCACCGATCCACATTCTTTCACTTCCGATCCAATCCCGATACCTGAATTTGGATATCGGCCGATACCGATACTATTCCGATACCAGAGCTGTGTTTGCTTTAATATTATTATTATCATTATTGTTGATTTTATATGAGGCTGAAATAAACTCCTCTCAACAGGCAAGTATGATATGTACGTATGTATGCATGTATGTCCCAAAAGGCAACTTGAGGTAAGTATAAGGTCAGAAAAGGAAGTCAGAAAAACAGGAAATCCTGTTAACAGGAAGAATCCCATTCTGAAAACAAATATGCAACTGTAAGGGTTTCAAATTTATTGTCATGTCAATATTTATTAAATTCCCAAAATGTCAGATATTTGAGTCTTGAAATATAAGAAAAGTGCAATAAGTGTAAACATCTTACACACACACACTATCAATAAAACAGTGTGCATCTGAACAGCACAAATCAAGTACACTGGCTCTTGTAGCATCAACAAATCAAGGTTTTAAAATGTCAATTATCTGAAATATAAGAAAAGTGCAATAACTGTTCTTACGCGCCCGCACACACACACACTCGGTAATCCCTTTAGCTTTCACGTTGTCTGCCTGGAATTTACCTTGTTTTTGGAATGACTCCAGAAGTGATTCCTGACAGCCCGCCTAAAAAATCCTCGTGCTGTTTCGTGCGGTGCTTTTTTAAATGTTTGATTGCGTTCATAGTGTTGTCCCGACACTGGAGGGCCCTCTTCTTTTTGCTGTGATTGATTCACATATTAAATATAATTATTTCTTTCTCTGTCTTAACTTTCTCTTAACACTGCAAAAAGAGACATAAATTGATATATCAGAATGACAGCCCCTTGTTTGCATAATGAAGCAGAAATGCATAAAAAGTAAGTGGGAAAATAATAAATACATAAATAAATAATGTAAAAAAGTATAAATTAACATTAAATAAAAATTTAATGGAAAAGTAAATAAATATAGGAATGAATTCAAAGGAAAATAAATACAGGAATTAAAAAATAAAGAAAAATATTAATTTAAGTCACAATTTAAGGTTTGACAATTTTAACAATTGATTTATTGATGTTTCATTGATTTAATCATTACACCACAAAATTAAGAAGAAGTGACAGTGGAAAGATGGGGTCAACTTCAGTCTCACTGACACTTTGAAGGTATGGTATGGAGACAACCAAACTCTAACTCTACCCATGGCAAAATAATGTCATTCTTTTAAATCAGGTCTTTTGTTAGTGATTCAGTTCAATTCAATTTTATTTGTATAGCGCCAATTCATAACAGAAGTTATCTCAGGACACTTTTCAAATAGAGCAGGTCTAGACCGAACTCCTTATAACATTATTTACAGAGACCCAACAGTACCACCATGAGCAAGCACTTGGCGACAAGGGCAAGGAAAAACTGCCTTTTAAGAAACCTAGGACAGACCCCTCGGCTCTAGGTGGGTGGTCGTCTGCCTCGACCAGTTGGGGTGAGAGAGAGAGACAGAGAGAGAGACAGACAGACAGGTACACAGCAACAACAGTAGCAACAACTACACTAATAGTAGTGACTGATGATGATGAACATGAAGAGGACAACGACGACAACAGCAACAATTAAATTGACATGTCCTGATCAAAGATAACTCTAAGAAATGGATGGAGAGGTGTGCACTTTTATGAGAAACAGGAAACCTAAAATAACTGTCCGTGCCATTTCCTTACTTTTCTTTCAGCTGGGGGAGAAGTTTAACTTTGATTACCAGACTAAAGTGGATGGTGAGGTTTTGCTCCATTTGTATGACCGCTTTGGTATACAGAAGATGGCCTCTCTCCTGGATGGCGTCTTTGCTTTTGTCCTGCTGGACACAGCCAACAGAAAGGTCTATCTGGGAAGAGATACGTATGGGGTCCGGCCTTTGTTCAAATTCCTAACAGACAATGGATTCCTTGCAGTCTGCTCAGAAGCCAAAGGTAATGGGATAGTTTATTACACCTCCTTCAATCTGGGTCTTTTCTACTATTGTAAGAAATGTTTTACAGCTTTTTAGCACTGTTTAATTTGTTGTTTTTCTGATCTAAGGCCTTACAAACCTTACACATGCAATGGACACTCCTGCCAACATCATCCCCTTTCTTCCTGGGCACTTTGAGGTCTTTGATTTAAAGCAGGATGGCAAAGTTCGGTCCATTAAAATGGAACAGTTTCACTGCTGCACAAAAGAGCCCGTTCATGCCATCTACGACACTGTGGAGAGACTGCCTACAAGTATGAAACTGTTCATTGTCAACCAGTGTTATTTCAGTCATTTGGTCATTTAGGTGGTTTGTATGACATTTTTTAAAACTGATGTCCTGACAGGTTTTGAGGAGGAAAGAGTGAAAAGGACCATCAGAACCCTGTTTGACAATGCTGTAAGGAAACGTCTCATGGCTAACAGAAGAATTGGCTGTCTGTTGTCAGGTAAAGTAAACGTCTAAAAATCTATACATAGATTTTTATTCATCATCTTTATCATATTTATCAAACCACCAAAATAACAAAAATAAAGAAATAAATGACTCAATAAATAAATTAATAATGCACCAAAAGTCTTTAAAAAAAATCAATGTAGACATTTATTAATTATAAAATGATGTGCCAAATTTTTAATTTCTGTATTTCCTTTGTATTAATTCCTTTATTTACTTTCCCGTTAATGTTTTTTATTTAATGTATTACTTTTTAAAATTACTTATGTATATATTATTTGCCCATTGCAATTTCCACCATTTATTTCCCCACTTATTTATTTCAGTATTTTCTTTCTTTCATTTCTTTATGCATTTTTGTTTCATTATGCAAACAAGGGACTGTCATTCAGATATATCAATTTATATCAATTTATTTATCTAATGCCTTCATTTATCTTTAATATTATGTTGGTGCATTAAATGGCATGTTGATTTATTTATGTATTGAGGTATTTATTATTGATTTTGGCAATTTTGGTCCTCTATACTGAAACAGCTCCAGTGGCTGTTTGTTACATAAAACAGTGGTGGCAAAGAAAGATGTAAAAATTAATACTTTATTTGAAGATACATAAGAACATAAACCCTGATAAGATTGTCATTAGCTTAGCCTGAAGTTAGTTCTTTTCAGGACAGCGTTATTGATATAGACAGGTGGGGATTAATGTGATTTGTGTGATGATCCTCAGGTGGTCTGGACTCCAGTTTGGTTGCTGCTACACTCGTGAAGCTGGCCAAGGAGGAGGAGGTGGAGTATCCCATTCAGACCTTTTCAATTGGGTCAGAGGACAGTCCAGACATCATAGCTGCTCGCAAGGTCAGTTCTTCTGAGAGAAGGCTTTCAGATGATGTTTCCCCTGCCAGCAACGTTGAAGGAAAAAGAAGATGGAGTTTGGTATGTTTATGTTTTTTCAGGTTGCAGATCACATTGGCAGTGAACACTACGAGGTGAACTTTACTGCGGAAGAAGGAATCCAAGCTGTAGAGGACGTCATCTTTCACCTGGAGACCTATGACATCACCACAGTACGTGCCTCTGTTGGTGAGTGTAGCAAAAATAAATTGTATGAAAAAAGATGAAGGTTGTAACATGGCTTCCACAACTCAGTTATGCCAGTTGAAGAGCAGTTGAATATTCTTTTGTGTCTGCAGTAAAATACATTTGCTTTAATGCGCTCGGGCTAAAGAAGTGACGGGCCATCTTTGTTTACTTGAGCAATAAAGAGCACGGCTCAGAATACACTTAAAATTAAACACAAAGTGGAGAGAGAAATAGGGAGAAAAGTCAAATAATCTGATGGTCATATACCAGAGTCAGTCAGTCTCCAATTTTAACCAGTTTCTTAAGAAAATAAATAAATAAATAAATAATAAAACACACACACACCGCATTCCAAATTATTATGCAAATGATATTTTTCTCAGATTTTCCTAAATAGTCGATGCAAATGACAGTCAGTATAATTTTCAAGTCATCAACCGTTAGAGTATAATTCAAATTTTATTGAACAAATCTCCTAATGGTAACAGATTTTTTTTTAAATTAAAAACTCAAAATGCACTGTTCCAAATTATTATGCACAACAGAGATCAAAACATTTTAAAGGTTGTAAAGAGAACTAAAATGGTAATTTGTTGAATTTGCAGCATCAGGAGATCATATTTACAGAAATCAAAAGCTATTTCAATCAAAAAAATCTTAACAGGCCAAGTTACATGTTAACATAGGACCCCTTCTTTGATATCACCTTCACAATTCTTGAATCCATTGAACTTGTGAGTTGTTGGAGAGTTTCTACTTGAATATCTTTGCAGGATGTCAGAACAGCCTCCCAGAGCTGCTATTTTGATGTGAACTGCCTCTTACCCTCATAGATCTTTTGCTTGAGGATGCTCCAAAGGTTCTCAATAGGGTTGAGGTCAGGGGAAGATGGGGGCCACACCATGAGTTTCTCTCCTTTTATGCCCATTGCAGCCAATGACACAGAGGTATTCTTTGCAGCATGAGATGGTGCATCGTCATGAATGAAAATAATTTTGCTACGGAAGGCATGGTTCTTCTTTTTGTACCACGGAAGAAAGTGGTCAGTCAGAAACTCTACATACTTTGCAGAGGTAATTTTCACACCGTCAGGGACACTAAAGGGGCTACCAGCTCTCTCCCCATGATTCCAGCCCAAAACATGATCCCGCCACCTCCTTGCTGACGTCGCAGCCTTGTTGGGACATGGTGGCCATTCACCAACCATCCACTACTCCATCCATCTGGACCATCCAGGGTTGCACGGCACTCATCAGTTAACAACACGGTTTGAAAATTAGTCATCATGTATTTCTGAGCCCACTGCAACCGTTTCTGCTTAGGAGCATTGTTTAGGGGTGGCCGAATAATAGGTTTATGCACACTTGCAAACCTCTGGAGGATCCCACACCTTGAGGTTCGCGGGACTCCAGAGGCACCAGCGGCTTCAAATACCTGTTTGCTGCTTTTCAATGGCATTTTAGCAGCTGCTCTCCTAATCCTACGAATTTGTCTGGCAGAAACCTTCCTCATTATGCATTTATCTGCACGAACCCGTCTGTGCTCTGAATCAGCCACAACTCTCTTCACAGTATGATGATCACGCTTAAGTTTTCTTGAAATATCCAATGTTTTCATACCTTGTCGAAGATATTGCACTATTTCACACTTTTCGGCAGCAGAGAGATCCTTTTTCTTTCCCATATTGCTTGAAACCTGTGGCCTGCTTAATAATGTGGAACATCCTTCTTAAGTAGCTTTCCTTTGATTGGGCTCACCTGGCAAACTAATTATCAAAGGTGTCTGAGATTGATTTCAATGATCCAAAGAGCCCTGAGACACAATACCATCCATGAGTTTAATTGAAAAACTAAAAATTAAATGTTTATGATTTATTAAATCCAATGTGCATAATAATTTGGAATGCAGTGTAAGATCCCCAATGGGGTTTCCTTACACATTACACATTACACATTACACATTAACTTCTGCATAATTTCCTGGAAAGATCTGCAGGGCAGGAAACAGCCCGTGTCGTGGATGCCCCACTGTGTGGCCGAAATTCCCCTTCTATAATGAACTGCAATTTCCCAGCTTGGGATCAATAAAGTATATGTATCTATCTAACTACCCACACGGCCAGTTTAGTCTTGGTGCCCTATCTATGTAATTTGGTGTTAATTAGAAGGGAAATAGAGACATCCTTTATTTGGTTGTAGCAAATATCACAACGGGTGTAGCCTCTAAATAGCAATTGAATATTCCCTGTCATTTAAGGTCCAGTGTGTAAGATTTAGGAGGATCTATTGGCAGAAATGGAATATGATATTCATAGGTATTTTCATTAGTGTATAATCACCTGAATATAGGAACAAAAACGTCTACATGACCAGCCCCACTCCTGCTCTGATTGGGTAGAACCATTGACAATATATATAGTGGACAGCGCTTCCAGGTCTGTGAAGTGAAGCCGACATCGAAGTGTCTTAAACCTGCACTTTATGTAAAGGCCAGCAGAGGGAGCTTCATTGGCTGCAATAAAAAACGATACCACATGAGCCGACTCATCACTTGATTTATGAGCTCAGTAAACAGTTTCCTAATGAGTTTATGGTCTCAATCTCTAGTTTAAGTTCATTTAGTAAATGATGATCCCATTTAGAGTAAAATAGAAGATAAAGCAGGGTATGCTTTAGGGCGTGGATAAATGTGATTGACAGGTCATTCTCAGTGACTCTGTCCAGCTCAACGCACCAAACTCAGATCAAACTGTCAAACTCAACTCGAAACTCCTCTCTAAAATTTTTAATGCCTCACATTTCTGCTGATTAATGTGCTCGTTGATGTGACAAAAAAATGTGTATGAATATGCTGCATCACTACATTCCTCTTCCTCCTGACTGGCTCGTTTAAATCACATTGGGATCCAGTGAGATTAGTGAATTGGTCAAAGAGGTCATGAAGTAGAGGGGGCAGTTACTGTGCCACAACCCAGCACTACATTATTCAGGGTTCCCACGCATCCTGGACCTTTACTAAGATCTGTGCCTGTGTATTTAGTTTTAAACTCAACTGTTTGTAGGGTAACCTGCGCATATGACACTTCAAAGCAGTTTTACTAGATGTGGAACAAACTTGCAGCAATCTTTTTGGTGTTGAGTCAATTTTTTCTAGAGCTGCGAGCAGAAATTTAGTGGAAAATGCCCAGTGGAAAAATTTCTTGTTTTTGTGGTCAATAAATGCTCCGTAGAAATGTTAATTGTACACGCAATAAACACTTTCTACTTTACCTAGTAATGTATGTAATGAATAAAAATGGTGTTAAACGTTTCAATATATGGTCTACCTGTAAATCATATGACTGTTTGGGTAGCAATTACTGTCCTGTATTGTCAAGAAGACTCTTATAAAATGTCCTAGAAAACGATTTCTTTGAAAGAGTGGGAACCCTGATATTAACGATACAAATGTATCCACAATCTAATAATATGTAATGATATGCAGTGACAATATCTTCAAATAACAAATGACCCAAAGAAGAAAAACTTTTGCACAGATGAATCACAACACATTTTATTTCGCTGTCATTATTTTATTGAAAGATGTGGCCATATGTTTCTTAATGTGGTGATTTGTTAATTTAAGACTGGAAGCTGGCGTGTTTCCATCATTTATTGTTAAATTTTGCCACAGAAAACTCTTCATATTAAAAGAACATCTGTTAGTAATGTACGGCCCTTTATCATAAATCTGAACCGAAACTGCACACTTCACTGCTAATCATCTGTTCAAATATCCTTAATAATTGCATCTTTCAAAGGCTCCTATATGCATGTTATAACTTCTTCAACTCTGCATTGTGTGTGTGTGTGTGTGTGTGTGTGTGTGTGTGTGTGTATGTGTGTGTGTTACGGCAGTTATGATAATTTTGTCATGATTTCTCTGTTTCTTACACTGTAGGGATGTACCTGGTTTCAAAGTACATCAAGGAGAAGTCAGACAGTGTGGTGATCTTCTCCGGAGAGGGTTCTGATGAGCTGACTCAGGGATACATTTACTTCCACAAGGCAAGTCCTCCAGAAACCAGTCACTGCTGTCGAATCAGTCACGCTGATGTTTGAATAGGACAAAAATAAGATAAAACTATCTTTATCGGGATAATGAATTGAATGAATCGTGAATGAAACATTTCTGTTTTGATTTCCTGATTTATTTTGAAATGCCACAAGAGAGAGTACCAAAATCCTAAGCCTGTCACCATGGCTGAAGGCTCGGCTTGTCCATTGTATCCCCCACAAAAAAAAGTTAAAGCTGCAGTAGGTATTTTTTTATTTAAAAAAATATACAAGTAAGATCATAGTGTTTTTGTTACCTTAGAATGAGACTGTTGTGTTCAGTAATAACTGTTCCATTCTACATTATACCACAAGGTGGTGCTGTGAGCTTGCGCACAAAAGGAAAGGGACATGCAGTGCTGAGTAAAGTTGTTGTTACAGTCTGTATGCTATTATGGAGCTGGTGCTTTGCTCTGTTATTAAAATCAATTCAATTCAATTCAATTTTATTTGTATAGCGCCAATTCATAACAGAAGTTATCTCAGGACACTTTTCAAATAGAGCAGGTCTAGAACGAATTCAGTAATCATCTTACTTGATTCTGCTTATTTCTACACTGAAACATTACAAACTTGCGACGAGATGGACCTGCCAATGTTTTGAGTGAAGATGGCTGTAAATGCACCATTCCCAGATCTTTTTCTGCCATGCTGTGGTGAGCCAGCAATTCCATTCAAGATGTGAGTGAGGATGTTTGAAAATGACCTTGTGATAAACGTACCTGTTTCCGCTGTGGCTCCGAAAAACACCTAGCCAATTCACATGAATGTCCAGCAGCAAAAGCAACCTACAAAAGCTGTAGTAAAAAAGGACATTTAGCATGTGTGTGTTGGTTCGTGCACACTCATCCAGTGACATTGGCTGAAATGCCTGAATACACACTTCTGCTTGTGGACGGAACAGATTAGCCCAATGAAATACAGTGCACAATGGACACTCACGCCGTCAAGGAAGCTCCTCCTCTTCAGTCCTCTGTACAGCTGATGAAATTGACACATATTGGTCGAGGCAGATGACCACCCACCTAGAGCCGAGGTCTGTCCTAGGTTTCTGCCTCTTCAAAGGCAGTTTTTCCTTGCCGCCGTCGCCAAGTGCTTGCTCATGGTGGGAACTGTTGTGTCTCTGTAAATAATGTTATAAGGAGTATGGTCTTGACCTGCTCTATTTGAAAAGTGTTCTGAGATAAATTGTTATTGTTATGAATTGGCACTAGACATATAAAATTGAATTGAATTTTATTGAATTGAATATTCACACACCACTATCAAGGTGCTGGGCGGCATGCAAGCAACCGTTCATATGGAAGGCATTAAAGGACCTGCCAGCTTCTATGTGGTGGACGTATGGGGAGGGATTATCTGCTCTTCATCTGAACATCCATGATAACACTGTATATCTGCCATCTGCATCACCTCAGTGGCTGTGGCTCAGAGGAAGAGGGTGTTGCCCACTATTCGGAAGGTTGTTAGTTCGATCCCTGGCTCCTCCCGCCACATGTCGAAGTATCCTTGAGCAATATACTGAACCCCAAATTGTGCATCACTGAGTGAATGTGTATGAAAGGGTGAATGTGACATGTAGTGTAAAAAGCGTTTTGAGTGGTCAGAAGACTAGAAAGGCGCTATACAAGTACAGGTCCATTTACCACTTACCGTTCATCTCCTGAAGCTTCAGTTGGGTATCTCACCACACAGCCTCATCTGCAATCGTACAATGTGCTATAGGTTTCGTGCATAAAGTGAAAGTATCACCAACAGTTGTTTCTGTCCGTCAAAAGCCCTTCTGAGTGAGAAATGCTGTATCAGAAGAGCTGAACCGCCTCCTCTCACCAATAGTTACACAAAATAGGTTCTTGGGCCCTCTGGTGACAGCAGACGGCATGAAACCTGACACAGACCACTTGCAAGCCATAACACAGGCTCCTGCTCCCAAAGATGCTGCCAGCCTCTGCTCTTTTCTAGTTATACTATCTTGGTATGGAAAATTCATACCTAACTTTGCCACAGTGGTTGAACCGCTCCTCGCTTCGTTGTACCTGTCTCTGTGCGCTGGACACTCCGGGCCATCAGGGTGTTGTGTGAACAAAGCAGCGCTTGTGCGACCTGTCTGGTATGGATGCACTGGTTTCGCTCTCAGATATCTGCATGTTCCCTGTGGCAAAAGTCAGACAAGTCTGCAAGATTTTTGAGGCGCCACTCCAACCTGGGCCTGGATATCGTTGGCACCTTTAAAACAACAACATGGGACTTGCAATCACTCTCACTGACTACTACTCAAAGTGGCCCGAAGTTGCTTTTGCATCATCAGTCACCACTGAAACAGTGCTTGGATTCCTCAGCAGTGTCTTTGCCCACTATGGCCAACCAGAGTCCTTGGTCATTGGTAATGGGCCGCAATTTACAGCTGCTGCATTCTCTTCATTCCTCAAGGAAAGAGGCATTGCTCATGTCTTCTCTTCTGTGTACCCCCATCTGCCAACGGTGCAATAGAGAGGTTCAACAGAGACTATAAAAGTTGCATCCAAGCTGCTATCCTCCAAAGCAAGCCGTGGAAAAGCGCAAAAACTGATTTTCTTCAAGCGCCTCTTCTGTCGAGCAGCGCAGGTTACAGGTGATTTCTTTATTTATTCTGTGTTATATTGATGCAGCCTGTAATAGACTATAATGATTAGAGAGGATGCTTTCAGTCATTTTAAACATTTCCATGTGTTTCAAAGTCACTGCAGCAAATATCATTAAGCAGCAAAACTTAAAAACTGTGCTGTGGCGCAGAGACAGAGCGGGTCGTCTCCTAATCAGAAGGTTGTTGGTTCGATCCCCGGCTCCTGGTGCCACATGTTGAAGTATCAAGATACTGAACCTCAAATTGCTCCTGTGCATCGCTCTGTGAATGTGTGTGAAAATGTGAATGTGCCATGTAGTGTAAAAGCACTTTGAGTGGTCAGAAGACTAGAAAGGCGCTATACATATATATTTACCATTTATGAAGTAAAATAAAGAAACTCTCCAAAGGAAACAAGATTTATCAGGAGATTGCTGTTTGTGGGAACTTCTGGAGGTGTAAAATACCTTGTGCGTAAATGCGCAGAGCGTCTCTTAATGGGGAGAAACTTCACACTAATTCAGCCTCAAATCAGAAGAATGATGTCCTTCCCAATATGGGAAGTGAGACTGTCTGAAGAGCACGTGAATGCAGCATAAGTTACAATATGTGGCACCATGTGACCAACTAAACTCCCTAGGCATGCAGAGCAGCAGAGTCAGTAACTATGGATGAAAACCTTGTGTTTGCTGACCTTCAGTGGCTGAAGTTCGTCTGTTGAAGTGTGCCTCTATTTGAAAGCTTACACTGAGGAGAAACAGGGAGAGAGAAGGGTGACATGCAGCACAGGGTCTTTGGTGAGATGGGCGTAGCTGTTACATGTGTGTTCCTTAGACTACTGCGGCACTAGGACGGCCCAAGATTTTGTTTTTAATAAATGTTGTGTTGGCCAAACCAGTGAAAATACCTAATTTTGTTTTAGACAGTTTGTGTGAATCTCACCCTGATAGTGTAGGTATCCCTATTTATTAAAGCTGCACTATAAAAGTTTTATAAAAATAACTTTTTGTCATATACTTTCACTATATCCTGACAGTAGTATATGAGACAGTAATACATTCCCACGTTGTCAAATACAGACGCTTTTGGGACTCTGGGAATGAGACTCAACAATCAACTATCTTCAAACCACCAACCCAACGTGTCTTTCTATCTTTCTCAGATCGGTTGTTTTCGTTCAGACATGGTAGATTCTTGCAAATGCATTAACACTAGGAGGAGCAAGAGGACCTGATTTGTTCACGGTTTATCTGTCTCATGTACTGTCAGAACCAAGTGTGAATATCACCCATTGGTTTGTGAAGTACTGTTTTGAAGGCTTGAGTTTGGCGTTATGGCCATCGCCATGACAGTAAGACAGACCCAGCGGCTGTCTCATGTACTAGTGTCAGGACAGTCAGCAATAATGACAAAACTATAGTTTCAAAGTTATTTTCAAAGAGCTTTAAATGGATAGTTTGGGTTCTTTGAAGTGGGGTTTTATGAGGTACTTCTCCACAGTCAGTACATTACCTGCAGTAGATATACACCTGCAGTAGATATACACCTGTAGTAGATATACACCTGCTGTAGATATACACCTGCAGTTGCTCTCATTGGCTGCGCAGTTTCGACTCGTCCATAGCAGGAAACAATGGCGGCTCGCCTGTTGACACACAATCTCGTGTACAAACTCTCTTCAGACTTGCGACACATTGAAAGTGATAAAGAAATGTCACTACGTCTGATTGCTGTTGTGACATTTACATAAGAGTGACATGAGACCGCCTGTCTGAACGTGTTAGGAATGTAAAGGGGGTCTTGAAGCATGTGTACTAACAGAACTGTGTTCCTCCTCCAGGCTCCGTCTCCCAAAGTAGCTGCAGAGGACAGTGTTCGTCTGATGAAGGAACTCTACCTGTTTGATGTCCTCCGTGCTGATCGCACAACTGCTGCACACGGGTATCATCTTTCACTTCACCTCTGCCCTCACTAAAGAATTCAGGCTGGGTACACACTGCAGTGTGTCCATGAAACATAAACCAGCAAAAGACATGAATCTGTGTATCATTCCCTCTTTTTATATTCGATGTAGATTCCAAAATGGAAATGGAAAAAATGGAAAATGGACCTGTACTTGTATAGCGCCTTTCTAGTCTTCCGACCGCTCAAAGTGCTTTTATACTACGTGCCACATTCACCCTTTCACACACATTCACACAGCGATGGAAAAGTCCATCGAACAGAAACTCAGTCATACATATTCACACACCAATGCTGTGCAACGGGAGCAATTTGGGGTTCAGTAGCTTGCTCAAGGATACTTCGACACGTGGCAGGAGGCGCCGGGGATCGAACCAACAACCTTCAAGGGACAACCCGCTCTGCCTCTGAGCCACAGCCGCCCTACATACATGACATGTATACACTGTCACTTTACACAGATTCAGCTTTCACATATATTCATATAATGTATCCTAAAAATGCCAGCGGAACGCAGAAGCAGCACATTTAGCACTACACTTTGTAAGAATCCATCTGTACATAGTAATCAAATATGTGTGTAGTGTATATTTACTGCAATCATACATATATAGCATCAATATAGTGATAACTTCCAGTATTCGCAATGTATATTATGAGTCTGGACAAACGTGGATGTAAACTGAATCTTTCCTGTATCGCAGAGGCATACAACCACGGGACTCTAATTCTTTGTACATTTGTTTTGTGAGTCAGTTATTTAATTGGGGAGAAAAACTATTCATTATTGACTTACATTAGTAATTGTACTAATTAACATTGTGCTCATTCTCTCAGGAATGTTCATTTTCAGTAGCCTGAAAGGTGTTCAGATCTTTAATTTTACCACTAAAAGGTAACTCCTTTGTGAGAGGAGAAAGATAAAGTGGTCAACAGCAACATGATTGAGGAGCATCAGTGGTGAAATGAATAATGCATTATAATTAGAGCAAAATGTGATTAATTAAACCTCAATAATGAGGCTGGAGATCTGCAGAAATGAATGCCACCAATCAGTAAGGTTAATACTGCTTTTTATATGAGCAAATCAATTAAAAATAAAGGCACCCAATGATGAACACTAATAATTGATAGTAATGGAGCTATTAACCATTTTATACAGTGCCAGTGGATGAATAACATATAGGGAGTCCTGCAATCATCCTACCTCTTCACTTGCAGTGTATGTATGCATCGGCAAGAATCTGGCCATGCGTTATGTATCACGATACAGGGGTTACGATTCAATATATTGCGATACTGTAAACAGGGTGATATATTATGATTTAAAAAAATAAAATAAAAAGTTACTATCACTGCTGTTGATACAGTATTTTTGAGAGTTGATACTATATCACAAAACCGAAATATTACGATGTGATATTTTTCAATATTTTCTTACACCCCCTAATCATATGATACATTCTGTACGTAAGTTGTTGATGAATTTGTCTCAACTGCTCTGATGTTCCTTTTTTTTTATCCTCCAGTCTGGAACTTAGAGTGCCTTTCCTGGACCACAGATTCACAGCGTACTACCTTTCTCTGCCCGAGGAGATGAGGGTTCCCAAGGTCAGTAGATGTGTACAGCCGTTGCATTTATTTCACTCTCCATAAAATGACGGTATGTTTGGAGGCGGTGTTTTAGCGTGGCTTTGTAATGATAGTGTTGAATGTCATGTGTGAACAGAACGGCGTTGAAAAGCATCTTCTGAGGGACTCCTTCAAAGGTCTCAACTTGATCCCTGATGAGATCCTGTGGAGGCGCAAAGAGGCCTTCAGTGACGGTATGATGTCTGAGAAGAAGTCCTGGTACACCTGCCTGCAGGACCACCTAGAGTCTATGGTACGTGTTACTGCCGAACCAAGACCTGTAAAAAGAATTAAATAATTTAAATATATATATTTGAACAGCCACCTTTTAAATAATAACGGAAAAGCGGTACTGATTCTGAGTCAGAACAACGAGCAAGGAGACTGAACTGAGTTGATTTTTTTTAACAAAGTGTAACATCACACAGGTCTCATTCCTGATCAGTTCTCTATGAGGAGTTTGTTCACAGTGCGTGAAAATCGCCACAAATGACCACTAAATTAAAAATGTCTTACTTACTACGACTTACTGTTGAGTTCAGGGTTGGGTCCAGGTGGCCTTTTTGTTTGCCTATGTACATGTGTGTATTGATTTTCATACATAATGTGAAACGTGCATCGGGGGCTACATTTAGAGGGCACTGTCGAGCCATTTTACCACGCCCAGGTGTAAGACCTCTATCACATGTAAGTTTTCGCCACAGGTAAATTTTGTGCCATGTTTCAAATATGTTTTGCAGCTGCCAAAAATGCAGTTCTTTGGTAGAAAAATAAGAATTCCTTACATATCTCAGTCCAACACATGTATTCCAGTATATTTGAAGGGACACTGAAACACCTCTGTGGTCCTTCATTGTCTGACCTGGCCTCTATCTTCTCTCAGGTGAACGATGACCAGATGGAGAAGGCTTGTAAGACGTTCCCTCACAACCCTCCACGCACCAAAGAGTCCTACTACTTCAGACAGGTGTTTGAGAAGCACTACCCAGGCCGGGCTAAGTGGCTCCCCCATTACTGGATGCCACGCTGGATCAATGCCACCGACCCATCGGCCCGGACCCTGTGTATCTACAAACCTGATAAAGATCAATGAGCAGCTCGGGAACAGCTGTGTGTGTGTCAGTCAACAATATGTTGGTCTTCTTAAAACATTCTGTGTGTCATACTGTACTTTGTTTAGTTCAGCTTTTGTGAAGTGGGGTTGTATGAAGTACTTATCCATAGTCACTGTATTGCCTGCAGTAGAAAACCTTATTTTAGCCACCTTGAAGCCGCAGTAGGTAATTTATTAAAATATGTTTGTCATATTTGCTGAAACTTTCACTTTATCCTGACAGATAATCTGTAAAAAAAATCAAGTTCCTCTGGCTCCTCCTAGTGCTCCTAATGGCATTTGCAAGAATCCACCAGGCCTGAATGAAAACAACCAATCCAAGCAAAGAAGGACAGGTGACTGTTGAGTCTCATTCCTGTGTCGTCAAATACAGACGCTCTGGGACCCTGGGAATAAGACTCAACAATCAACTATCTTCAAACTTCCAACCCAAAGTGTCTATTTCTTTCTTGGGTCTGATTGGTTTTTTTTCGTTGCAGCCCAGTAGATTTGTGCAAATACCATTAGGAGCACTAGAACGAGCCAGAGGAACTTGATTTTTTTCACAGATTATCTGTCTCATGTACTACTGTTGGAACACACTGAAAATTTCAGCAATAATGATTATTTTTTCTAAAAGTTACCTACTGCAGCTTTAAAAAAAAAAAAAAAATCAATATCAGTTTTAGTGTACACTGTACAGTGTTAAGAACATTCTCATGTCCTTTGACGCTACATTGTCTCAACTTATAACTTCTGTACTCCTACGCCTCAGCCCAGCTGTTCCTTGAACGGCGTATTGTGCAGCAGATCAGCTGTTGGAGTGGAGTGGAGTTTATGGAACAGAAAAATAATTGACTCTGACAGCAATGATGAAATACTGTTCCCTGTGGAGCCAAGAGGATACCTTCATGAACCAGAGTATACAGAAAAAGAACTTCTGAAGATTGATCAGATATGGCTGAGGAAATGTAGCACCAAAGGAAAGGGCTGTCTGACTGCAAGGACAAGCTCTGAAAATATTGTTAAAATAGCAACTGCAGGAGTATATCTACTGCAGGTAATGTACTGACTGTGGACAAGTACCTCATACAACCCCACTTCAAAAAACCTAAACTATCAATTTAAAGCTCCAGTTAGTAACTTTAAAAATATAGTTTTGTCATTATTGCTGCCTGTCCTGACACTAGTACATGAGACAGCTGTTGGCTCTGACACTGTCACGCAACGGCCATAACGCCAAACTCAAGCCTTCAAAACGGTACTCCACAGACCAATGGGTGACATTCAGACTTGGTTCTGACAGTAGTACATGAGACAAATAAATTGTGAACAAATCAGGTTCCTCTGGCTCCTCCTAGTACGCTTAATGGCATTTAAGAATCTGCTTTACCAGAACAAAAACAACCAATCAGAGCAGAGAATGATGTAACTTGGTAAATCAGTTCCTTTTTCACTGAAGCAAGGTTCAGTACACAGGATCCACAGAATGGCAAACCAGTCCAAAAAAGGCTAGTCAAAGGGCAGGCAAAAATCCAGAAAACCAACGTACATGAACACCATAAATACTGCTGGTACACTTGTTGGAGAAGAAAAAGACGAACTGGCACAGGAGGGAGGAAAACACAGAGACTATATAGTGAGCAGGTGTAAGGTAATCGGATGCAGGTGCAGGTGATTGAGGGCGGAGCAAACAATTACCATTGGCGGGAAACACAGGGAAAGGAAGTGAGAAGATCAGAAACAAGGGAAAGAAAGGTACAAAATAAAACGGGAAACGCACAGAACTTCAAAATAAGACAACGACTGAACTGTGACAATCAACTATCTTTCTCGCCTCTGGTTGTTTTCATTCAGGCCCGGTGGATTCTTGCAAATGCCATTAGGAGCACTAGGAGGAGCCAGAGGAACCTGATTTTTTCACTGATTATCTGTCTCATGTAATACTGTACTGTAAAATATGACATATATTCTAAAATGACCACTGCAGCTTTAAATTGAACTCCATTTGAAATTAGTTACACTGAGCATGTCAACTGGGCAATTTCTGGGACTGCTACTTGTCAAAATAAGAGGAGCTATACAGCTACTATTTAGAAAAACCTGATTAGACCCTGTTCAGCTTTGTGCAGCTGACTGCGCTATACAGCAAGTGCCATTGATGTGTGATTGTAGCCACAAAGGCCTGTGTTGAGAGATGAAAATGAACTTGCAGGGATTTGAAAGTTGCTTGAGAAAGATGATCCATCACAGTGAACACCATGATCTTTTGGGCACTATGATATATTACATTTAATATGTGACTGTGAAGCCTTCCCTGAGGAGCTGCTCAGCCAACTAAAACATTCTGAGCCTGAGCTTTAGTGTCATGGATTACATGCTGTTACACTGCTTTCCTTGTTGTGTCAATATTTTTTTATTTTCAAGGGCACAAAAAAGATCAGTTACCAATCTAAAAACAATGGGCCTTGAACGCCACATCAGTCTTGTTATGTAGAACCATGTAGGGTGACCCTCTTAGATACCGTGGCCTCATAAATGACCGTAGACATGATAAATATATTTTAATAGCTTCATACTGATCCTTCAACTTATCTAAATTAGATGTCTATTTGGGAGATATATTTTCTCATGTTTCTATGTAGGTTTAGGGTGTAACCTCTAACAGATTACTGTATTCAGAGCTGCTAACACCAAAAAGGTTGATGCTCCAGCTTGTTGACTAGTATCTTATGCAATTTGTGTGAAAGACATCTTACAGTTTCTCATGGATGGAGGTGACTCAGTGAGTGAAGCTGGCATTAGCTTTTCACGCTGATTAATGACACCTCTGCTGTTCTTCACTGGGAACTAGGTGTTCGGTTAGGACTGGCTATGCAAGTGTGTGGCACAGGCACATCATGTTAAAGCTGCAGTAGGTAACTTTCATAAAAATAACTTTTTGTCATAATTGCTGAAACTTTTACTATATCCTGACAGTAGACCATGATGGCCAGACCATAATCTGTGGGGGGGGGAAAACAACCAATCAGAGCCAAGAAAGTTATAGACACTTTGGGTTGGAAGTTTGAAGACATTTGACTGTTGAGTGTCATCCCCAGGGTGCCAAAGAGTGTTTATTTGAATCCCAGAGAATGAGTCTCAAAAATCAACTATCTTTCTCGGCTCTGATTGGTTGTTTTCATTCAGGCCCGGTGGATTCTTGCATATACCATTAGGAGCACTAGGAGGAGCCAGAGGAACCTGATTGTTTCACTGATTATCTGTCTCATGTACTACTGTCAGGATATAGTGAGGGTTTCAGCTAATATAAAAGTTACCTACTGCAGTTTTAAGTAAGGCTCGGGCGATATATATATCTATATAGATATATATAGATATTTTGCTCAACCCTAGTTAGAGTGTGGAGATGTGAGTGAACTACAGGAAATGGATGCCTGACAATATACTGCAATTCAGTAACCAGTAAGCATCAAACCTTGAGGATCATTTGAACAAAGTGAGCTTCATAGTTGTGAATAATTTATTGCAAGTCTGTTTTATTGGATTGCATTATATTTTTAGTTTTTTTGTCCATGATCTGCCTAACTAGATTTTTCTTTATTGTTGCGGTTTGGTACTAATTGCTGCTAAAATAAATTCACCTCTTGGAACTGGAGTGTGTTGTCAGTTTGTAGTACCTCTGCTGTCTAACAGAGTGTGCCCTTACCTCACTATTTCAGACGCTCTGAACACCGGGAGGTTTTTTCTTTTTCACAAGGAATTCACAACTTGCAAGCTGAAGTTGAACCAGTAAAGAAAATAATTTTAATATTACACACAGGTATCCTGTCATACTGCACCATATGTGCAGGTGGAGAACATGACAGCTCTTCTAAAGTCAGTTGAAAGTCAAAAGGAGAACCAGTGTGTTATTTATAGAACAATCAGTTGCAGTTAAACAGTTATGAGGCACTATACAGTGACTTTGGCAGTGCAATTTTCAGCATACCCCAGGGTATAGCTTTGCATTGATGGTCCACAACAACATTTAGTCTTTTGTAGCACGGCAGCTGGTGGAAAACGCTCACAGAAAACACTAACATTGATAATGACACCATTCCCCCTCCTCATCCACCTTCTGCTGGGACGAATGAAACTGGCACAGGTACAGCACTGCTACATCACTACAATGTGGAAACAGAATCATTTTATTTGACTAACAGCTACACACAGTTTTGGAGAAAACAAAAGCAGCATCGGGCACCCCTCCCGTGGATGAGGAATGGCTAGATGAGAAGCAGGCAGGAGAGGAGATGATTGCTCAGCGGCGCTTGTCGTACGTCTGTATTGTGCTCCACTCATAGGACTCTGCAGAGGGACACAGCTCGTTAGCTTAAGCACACATTTTGCCCTTTTATTACTTTCATAAATAAAGTGAGAACCATGAGGTGCAGCTTAACTTGAATTGAGCTCACCTGGCTCCTCTTGGCTTCTTTTCCCCATCAGTCCAACAAAGGAGTTGACTTTGTGCCCTTCAAAGAAAACATATTTTAAATTGAGACCAGTTTGTAGTAGCTAACTGCAACCAGTGCCGCAGCAACCTCTCAGACAACAGCTACTGTAGAATAGTCTGAACATTTCTGATCATTTAAATGAGATTTTACTGATTGCTTTTTCTTAATATTATTGACTCCCTGGTGAAGATATACACACATTTATATGTAAAGCTGCGGTAGGTAATTTTTATAAAAATAGCTTTTTGTCATATTTGCCTAAACTTTAACTATATCCTGACAGTAGAACATGAGACAGATAATATCATATATAAAACCAATCAGCGGTGAGAATAGTTAGTTGATTGTTGAGTCCTATTTCCAGGGTGTCAAATACAGACGCTTTGGGAATGAGACTCAACAATCAACTATATTCAAGCCTCCCACACAAAGCATCCTTCTATCTTTCTCTGCTCTGATTGGTTGTTTTTGTTCAGGCCCGGTGGATTCTTGCAAATACCATTAGGAGCACTAGGAGGAGCCGGAGGAACCTGATTTTTATCTGTCTCATGTTCTATTGTCAGGATATAGTGAACGTTTCAGTAAATATGACAAAAAGTTACCTACTGCAGCTTTAAGAATTTCAGTATTTTCTATACATATTTGTTTCTCATATATAATAAAACAACTCACATTTTAAGACCTTTAGTCCAGTGTTTCTTAAGCTTTTAAGAAAAAGGAGTCACAAAAAGGCTTGTGACTCATTAAAACAAAGCTCTGGAAGGGATGTTTATTGTGCAGGCTGTGACCACTTTAACCAGCAAGTCATTATTCCTGATCAAGCCTAAGAGGTCGTTTTTCACAAGAACAAAAAGTAGATTCATCTCAAGCCTGAAGAAATAAACCTAATTTTGTGCATCACAAATCTTTTTTTCTGCTCTCCTTCTCTGTTAACCTTCTCTGTTTGTGTGTGAGAGCAGAATATAGACTCTTTCTCAGTACGATGTCAAAATGTCGCCTGACAGTATAGTGTGGATGTGACCACGGTGTCCTTGGTGGTAGCTATGGCCCTGATAGAGACACATTTCACTGCTTTAACCTCAGCTCTGTGAAACCAAACTTAACTCAGTAAGACACTGGGACCTGGGTTTGCAGTGGTCAGGGTTCCCATTCGTCCTGAAAAACCCAGAAATTGATTAAAATTACCCAAAGATCCTGGAAATAATCAACAATTTTCACTCAGATCTGTAAAACAAGATAAATTCTACTTGATGTGAACTGTTACTTATGGCCAAATGAATGTTACAATGAGTGGAAAACTCAGTAGTCAATTCACCAGAGACCGCAGCGGAAAAATCGGCCAAGTGCGTCACACAAGTGAGCTAACGCGGAATGTCCCATAAACACTGACCACCTACAATAAAAACTCTTGAAAAAGGTCCTGGAAAATGATTTCTTAAAGAGTGGGAACCCTGAGTGGTGTAAATGTGACAGACAGTTGCATGGAGACTGACTGGGGCACCTGTCAATCACAGTAATGGACTGTAATGTGATCATGAGGAGGGGGAGTGGGTGTATATTGGATTGGGGTGTTCTAAAACTATAGTGAGCCCTGAGGGAATATCTTACATTACAAACATCAATATTTGCATTAGTCTGATGAGAGTTGATCCTACATATATAAAAAAGGTGAGGAAGCTGACTCTTGTCTCTCCACTGATTTGTCCCTTTGTGTAAGAGTGTATTGGCAGAATACATTCTGGTTCCAAGTGACGGGAGAAACGCGGAGCTCCCTCTATCCATCACACGCGTAAACAATCCAATTTAACTCTCACATGTCCTTGGGGCATTGATCCCAGCACTCTCCCTCTCCCCTAATGATGACTGACTTCTAGCCATGCCTCCATAAGAGGAATAAATTAGATGTATACTTACTTGCGCTGTGTTGCATCACTGAGTGGGTGACTAATTTAGACCAGAAAAAAAAAAACCTGACAGAGAAAAGGGAAAATCCCCTCCTCCTCATTCCTTTTCCATTGCTCCTTATCTCTTTCCTCTTTGTCACACACAGATTCCAGACCACCCTCTTTACTGACAAATTAATGTGGTCTGGTGTTCAAAAGAAAAGCAAAAAATGTGCAAAATCAATGAATTAAACGCCGTGAGACGGTGTGCTCATACACTCCTTCTTAACCACTGGCATAAACTCAATTAATAACACTGTGGGCGAAATATGAGAGGATTTGCTTTCTTCCCCATTGTGCTTACACTGTTCTGTGATTTTGGAACGAAGCGTCGGAGACCAAATGGCTCAACCCATCACTCCTTTAATGTAGTTTATTGCAACATTCTGGGATATATATGCCACGCGCCCCCTAAAACACCTGCTGGCTCCATGCTTTTTACTGCCGCTAATGTCAGTCACACAACAACCTGCGTCTGATGTTGACAGATGTGGCTTTTCTCCTATATGAGGCAATCTGCATAGAAATCGGAGAGTTTTAGTATTATGATACAGAGCAGCTTTGTGACAAAGCATTTTACAGCATTCAGTGTGTTTATAGACGGTTTATTTTAAGTCTGAGACACAGAAGCAGGGGCGTAGCTACCACTGAGGACACTGATGTCATGTTCTCCTTATTTCTTCTGGAAAGATTACATTCTACACGTTTTATATGAATTTTATATGATCTTTTTGGTCTCTGGGCGGATGGGGGGGGGGACTCATGGACTGGCAAAGGCATTGGAGAATTTTCTGAACCCATAAAAGCACAGATGTTATTATGCATTCAAATCCCCCTTCCCCCTGACTTTTGAGGTAAATTCAATAACAAGTGAATGTAACATTAACAAAACTGACAAGCGATTTTATTGCTTTGAAGAATGACTGGGCATTAATAGGCTTCTTACAAGCTAAAGAAGGGATAGCTGCAGGCCGGAAAAATGTCAACCAACCAAGTGTAAATCCATACTACACTAATATGATACTTACTTTTGTGGGTGATCTGTGCGTTTGCTGTGAGAGGAAAGAGAGGGGTTTTAAAAACAGGTCCGTGGAGGGAGAGAAAAGCTGTGTGTGGTGCCGAGAAGGAGCTCTCACCCGTGGAGCGTTTCCCCATCAGGCCAATGAACTGATGTGGCCGCGGCTTTCTCGTCATCCTCAGAAGGATTTCTCTGAATGGGTCGTTGGAGAGCCAGCCGTCCTGGGGGGGGGGGTCTCAATCAGTGTTTGTAGAGACAAGTATGATTGCATAGTTCCGCAACATTTTAGGGTAAATCAGGCAATAACTGCTAAGAAAAGAAAATGTCCTGAATGCATCTTAATTTGTCGATTATAGTAGGGTATAACATTTATATATACATTTAGTATAAACCAACCCTCTCACACACACACACACACACACAAGCTACACTGAGTAATAATCCATATAAGGCTTGAATTTTGAACTTTCATTATGTTAATGTTTCTATTTCCATCCCAGGATGCATTAGTCTGAGACGTGGACCTGGGGGCCACTAATGTCTGGCACACTGGGCTGTAATGATTTATTGTAGGCTCATTCATCTGCAGAATGGGCCCCAGCCTACAGTAGAGTTTAGGCTACTGGCACGTTTCCAACTGCCAATGTCAAACACAGGACGTGTGTATCATGTCAATGGAGACGGTCTCCAACCCCGACTACAGTGAGCACTTAAGGCTTTATTTCATTTCCCACTGGCTGGCTGCTCCAACCACTGCAACACTCTCCACCTGCGTGTCCTAAAGAGCCCTAATTCTTATTTTCTTTCTCTCACAGTTGTCTGGAAACAAGTGTAGAATATTTCATTGATATCCTGCTAATGAATTTGCCTTTGCTATATGCTGCATGTCCCTGCACTGGCACTGCTTTGGGAAGATTCATGAAACTGCGCTGAGAACAGCTGAGAACGATTATCTCACACTGCTGGTTTCTGGATTGAGGAAGCTCAGGAACTGGAAGCAGTCTGCTGGCAGGTTGGACTGCTGTTCAGAAGGGAACTGGTGTCAGTTGATGTGGCGGCAAATTGCGACACTGTGGATATGTTAGTGGCAGGGATGCACAATGATTATCAGGGCAGATAAATGATCAGCTGATAGTGGGACATTTATATTATTATGTATTATTCTGATAATGAAATTATAGCTGATGATTAATCAAACCATAATAATAATTATTTATTTTGGATTCTTATGCAAAATGATTAATAGGCCTTATGTTCTGTGAAAGCCAAAATATGTTTGTTAAGTTTACTAGAAAAAATAAATGAACATTTGATGAGTCAGAACTGTTGTTTGTTAACAATAGTGATGTTAGAACAGATATGGAATATTAAATCATCCATTTTTGCTCACTACATCTCAGCCTTTCTTTCCTTGAATTATATCAAATCTACAGGTTATGAACTTCATTTTAAAATGCAAAAATTTTATCAGTTGTCTTTTCGGTGATAAAGACGATAAATTGTCGGTTATCGTATCAGCATAAAAAATCCATATTGTGCATCCCTACTTAATAGTATAGCCTAATTTGTTTGTACTGATTAATCATTCAAACTTGTGTTTAATGGAGAGAGCAATGAATGGCATCTTAAAGAGTCCGAAAACATCTGGATGAATGTTTCTAAGGAGCTGATATTATACCATACTTATTAGGGCTGCGATTATTTAGACAGATATTGTGATTGTAGTATGATTCACGATTATTGGGAATGATCATTTTGTCATCACAGATTTCATTTTTACAAAAAAAACAACCTAATGAAATCATGATGATGTGACATTTGTTGGGGTCTGTACCACCTCTGCAGGGTACTTCATTAGCCTATAATGCTGTTTAACTTACATATTGCAGCTTACGTGACTTGCATATTGCGATTCCGATAATATTGTAATGAATTGTAATACTACCAACAGGCTTTATTATCTCATCATTATGGGTTATTGTTCAACTCTGTAGAGAAAGGCCAGCTGTTGACAGATGTATGGTGTTTGTTAGTGGCAAACGGTATCATTTAAGGCTTAACTATTAACTAGCCGATCATATTTTTTACTTTTATCACAAACACTTACATTTTTGCTCTTTAATGTGGGTTAAACAAGCTGACAGTAGTAGGCTGCAACTTTCCTCCAGAATAAAAGAAACAAGTGCTGCTTTTGCCTCTGACAAGAACACATTAGTTAGTAGTAAATACCACTTGACAGACTAACTCTAGAATAGGGGCTCAATAAAGCCGTGCTGTATACTACCTGAATCTGATTACTGCTCGTCCAGTAGTCAGCGTCTTCTTTTGGGTCGATTTCCTCGCAAAAAACTTGGGCGACGGCGAAAAAAGCCATTAAAACAGGTAAAAGCAGCAACTTCATGATGCCAGACCTGCTTTTAGATTCACTTAGACGTAGTGTTGTAATAAAATAACGGCCGATAATCAACTTCAGAACAAAAAATACAAACGAGTACGTTTTCGAGGCGCGAGCAGCGGCTGTACTGTGCGTCTTCTCTCTGAGCTCAACAGTAGTCCATAGCGCGTGCGTGCGTCAAAGCGCTGTGCCGGGCTCCCGCCAAATGTCTCCGAAGCTCTCCGCGCGCTCGCTCTGCAGCCTCTGCGGTCTTCGGTCTCGTGCGTCCTGCTGTCCAGTGTGCCTCGCGTGCGCTCCTATATAGCAGCCTCAGCGGCGCTGATTGGTGACGCCGTTACAGTAGTGTGATTACTCGCGGCCAGTCACGAGTATTAGAGTAATAATGTAGTTCCCAGTCCAAGCACTTTACGGATTGTAAAGGATGTGCGTCACCGGTGTGGGTCTAAATGCGATCTGCGTTGGTCATAAACATTGATAAAGTGGTTATGACACCATAACCTACTAATATTCAGCATTCAGATTGATAACAAGAACTCCATGGAGAAGCCTCATGGTGACTGGGCCTTATGTAAGCTATTATTCTGCCTGGAAAAGAGAGTGGAGGGAGCTCAGTGTTATAAACTCAAATTTTAAGTCGCAGTTTCAAAATCTACATATAAAGTCTGTGTGCAAACTCAGTTTTTGGTATAAAATAAAAAAAAAGATTTCTAACTGTTTTTTCAACTTTAGACTCAAATAAATCTTTCAGATGTGAAAAAAACATGTGTGATTGTATCATTTTGAAATTGACTTTGGCAACATCTTACACTCAATGCCTCAGACAGTATGGAAGACAAATAGGGATACATTTGAAAAACGTAACTATATTTTTAGTTTAAAGTCAGAATTCAGATTTTTAACTCAGAATTCTTACTTTTTGCTTTAATCTAAAATAAATGTTTCACATGTGGCCCTAAACCTCTTCCGTATTATAGCCTATTCCTACAGCTCAAAGGAAACACTGTATAGAAATCACTCATATAAAAGCCTGAATGAAAAGGAGAAGGGTGTGTGACCTGAGGGTGCCACTGATTTCCATTAGAAAAGCTGTGTGTTCAAGAGTAGGATGCTCAGCATGAATAGAGGATCACGTTGCCACACCAAGTTGAGCTTCAATGTACCTCAACCAGTGCTTGATTTGCTCAAGTGCCTTTATTACATTAACAATAAGTTCATTTTATTTACCCATGTGCTATTGGCAAATGCAAATATTTTCCCTGTGGTGGGAATGGACTTGGTCTGTCTTCTATGGCAAGTGTTTCATCTATTTGTTCAATTAATCCAAGTTGCAACACATTTACATTAACAGGAGATTTTGAAGGATGCTTTGCATCGACTGGCCCTAGTTGACCTCCATATTCAGTATATTTAGATGTTAATATTTCTGAGAATTAAGAGCATTGAGTTCAAACCATGGACATGGTTAATTTTCTTCCTTCGAAATGACCATTTTGCCTGGTTCTAGGACACATAAAGTGATGATGTCCTGTTGTACTTCCTGTAGGTAAAGTGACTGTGGATGGGTTTACACTAATACTCATTACGTATCTCTAACAGGGAGGGGGCTACATGCTCACAGAGCCACTTCGGACTGGAATTTAATCATCCTCACAACTGTGACAGCTCATCCAATTAACAGACGGAAGGGGGAGGTGAGGAGAGAGAGCTGGAAAGAGCGAGGTGATGGAGCTGTTGGAACCATGGGAGGGAGTTACCACAGAGGAGGAGGATTGAGAAGGAAGATGTAGGAGGTAAAAAACAAGAAAAAAGAATTGAAGTTGGGGCACGGAGATAAACAGATATGCAGATTATGTGGGGAGATGTGGACAAATAGGACATCAGTCCAGTGAGACCAAGAGGCATTCGCAGTCGATACCGCTGCCTGGAGGTAATACGATCAGCTGGAATGCGTAGTCGGCCACTGTGGACACTCCTCTAACTTTGATAAGGCATCCAGCAACAAATGGGACTCTGCGATGCATGAATATATTAGAGCATAAGTTGATTTAGTGCATGGAATGAATCCAAAACAGATCATTTGCTGAAAGAGATGACTGAGTCAAAGCAACACAGTGCCAATAGTAAATACATGAGCGACTTGAATTAGAAAATCCCTGGTGTAAACAGATTCCTACCAAATTTAATTTATGCTTCAATTAAAAAGAGCCTAGAAGATGCTAAATAAAAACAGAGTTGTTATATATATATATATATATATATATATACATATATATATACATACATATATATAACTTAACTATTTGTCTGGTCCAACATAGGGCCAGAATGGGGCCAGTTTAAGTGCGTCCAATGTGTGGACCATGACTGGGCCAGACCAATTCTGCTGCAATGGTAGAGGTAAATGGACTGTACTTGTATAGCGCCTTTCTAGTCTTCTGACGATTTAAAGCACTTTAACACTACACCACATTAGCCCATTCACATTGAATTAGACTCAACAATCAACTCTTCAAGCTATATCTTTTCCTTCTCTGAACCTGAATTTTTTCACAGATTATGTTGCAAGTACTACTGTCAGAACACAATTTCAGCAAATATGATACAAAACATAAAACTCCAATACTTGCCTTGTATGTAATGTAATATAAGACATTGTCAAATGAGGAAGAAGGGTGGTAATAATTTACAGATGTTAAAATGATGGGTGTACCAACTCTGTGAGACTTGATACAAACAAACTCACCAAAGTACGTGTCACGTTTTCATTCTTTTCAAATTAAAGATGTGGTGATCATTTTAATGGGGCTACCACATGTTCATTTTCCTCTGTGGATATAACATGCCCACCAGATATTTCACAACAGGAGCAGATATGAGATATGAGCAGACACAAGAACTCCTTCTTCTGTAGATATATAAGACCTGATATAAAAATTGGACTTTAGAAAGGTTGCATTAAGTCCTGCAACTTAGAGGAAACAGGTTATGTGTCATTGCCTCCCAAAATGACCCAAATTATTTTTTTCATATCTGTCACCAGGACAACATTATGTTGCCTTCACTTGTGACAGACAATGTACCCACATCGTAAAATTGGTCTGGCAAGATGTGATTGTCACGTCATCTGCCTTTAAAGTTGCAGTAGATCATTTTTTATTAAAAAAATGTTTTTGTCATATTTGGTGAAAATTTCCTTACCTAACCTTCCTATATCCTGACAGTATATCAGATAATCTGTGAAAAAAATAATTATCTTCAAGCTAACAACCCAAAACGTCATTCTGTCTTTCTTGGTTGTTTTTGTACAGGCCAGGTGGATTCTTGTGAAAAAAATGACAAAATTTTATTTTTATAAAGATTACCTACTGCAGCTATAATGAGAATCTCATGTGTATTTATTCATGTTGATGCTTGGCCTAACCATAAGGACAATCCATTTTGCTGGACAAAACACCACACAGTAGATCCACAAGGAGGCCAATAACACTTCTGAAATATGTATGTGTAATGCTGTGGTTAATCTTTCCAATTAGGTGTTATTGGATTGTGTTAGATTTATGGCACACTGAAACTACCTTAATGCCCTGGTTGGCTCCATAAAGTCCAAAACATCATTGTCACATATTTTATAGGTTTGTTGAGCACACAGTCTCTGTTCCAACATCATCTCCTTTATTTTATATTCATGAAACTATCTATGTTCTTATTTTGGTGCTGTTCAGTATTATCAGTATCCTGCTGGTAGCCACTCAGTACTTTGATTAAAACATCTAGTGATGTGGTTTACTCCTGTGGTTCACACACTGGTGTCCAGGGGTCACCAGGGGCCATTAATAAGCCTCCCAGCAAAAGTAAATCTCACCACAATTTAATTCCCTAGATGTTTGATGGAATTACATCCCATGGAACAAAAATATCTCAAAGCAAAATGTCCAGAAATGACATGGTTTAAGACTACAGATTGAGAATGTGTATGGTTTACTGTGCTGTACTGATCAAATTTGTACTTCTACTGCTTGGGCTTGAGGATGGAAATGTTGGTCGTTCTGTCTTTGGTCCAGATATATTGAGAATGACTGGCCAGATACTGCAGAAGTCTGATTATCTGGTGACCCCTAACCTAAAACTTTCACTTCAGAAATAGCAGAATCAAGTTATGAAATCTACAATCCCAGTCCCCACGAAGATCATAAAATTATAAATGTAACTACTTTACAGGCATTGCAACATTAAGTTATCCTTTATTGATCACTGTACAGAAATTCATTCTCTGCATTTGAGTACTAGGAGCAGTAGGCAGTCACAGTGCAGCACCCAGGTACCTGAGCCAGTGGTCAAAGTGGTCAAACTAACATGTTTTGATGGTGGGGGAAACTGGAGCACCTGGAGAAAACCCATGCAAACACAGGAACAACATGCAAACGCCACACAGAAAGGCCCTGCCCCAACCCACAATCTAACCCAGGACGTTCTTGCTGTGAGATGACAGTGGTCACCACTGAGCCACCGTGTTGCCATGATACATGAGGTGTTGCCTCACCAGAATCAAATAGGCAAACCCAAATTAGGTTTCGGGGTCCGGTAACAGATACTAAGAGGTCCTTGCCAAACGCATCTCCACAATGCTGAATAGGTCTATCGTCACCAGGTAAATCTCTGTCTTTAGTGTAGGCTACAGCAACTAGGAGTATGGTGGAGACTATGGACTGAAAGACCTAAGAATTGGCCAAGAAAAGGTTTGCTTCAGATAAAAAAGAAACTTTCGAAAGAAAGATTACTGACAAAACAAAAAGAAAGCAATCGAGGACAAACACGGATAACCACTGGTATAGCTTTTCCTTGTTAGAGAAAGGAGAGAAAGGACTAAGAGCAGACACAGATGTTGTGATATTGCCCTTGGACAGCTTGGTCTTTGTAAAATATTTGCATTAGGCCATGTAACTATTACATTAATCTACTTAAATAACTTACTTTCCGGGGGTATGAGTGCTATGTAACCATACCTGCCAACTTTTCAAAAAATCTTGGAGTGAGATTTTGTCGGGGGTGACCAAAGTTATGCCCGCACGCAGCCACACAAGTTGGTGGCTCAGATATCAGAGAATTGGAATTCATTTCATGTTGTACCAATGTTGTACCCTGCATTCTGGTGGTTTGTGGGGAGGCCCAAAGCCGCTGATAGGAGCAGCCTACTGGAGATGGACAATATTGGTTACATTCTGAAAAGCAGACATAGCTGAAGGTCCACCCCCAGGAAATTTTGGATTAAGTAGATGTGATTTCCTGCATTCTAGTGGATTTTTGGGTGGTCTGCTAAAGATGTGCAATACCTGAACTTATTCTGATTCATGTTCGGCATCATGACTTGTAGGGCCTTCT